ACATTTATCATATTTGGCCATAGTAATAATAATTCATCTGATTTTGGATTTTCAGAATCAGATGATGATGATTAAATAATAATATCCATGCTTATGCTAATCTATTAAATTAAAATATAAACAATAATATTCAAATTAATAAACTATGTGTTAAAAAAATTGAAATGTGAAAAGGAAATACGCAGCCGATTAAAAAATATAAATAATACATTTTTTTAAAAAATATAAATAATACATTTTTTTAAAAAATTCTGAAATATTAAATTTTTCAAATAAATAAAAATATTTTTAAAATTGAACGAACGTTAAATTCGAACGCGTTCGTCATAAAAAAGAAACGCGTTCACGTTCAAAGTTCGTCAAAAATAAAAGGAGCGCCTATCATCATTTTTTTCAAAAAAACGAACTTCGTTCCCGAACGCGTTCATTTTGAACGCGTTTGTTTACAACACTATTATATATATATTTGATTTTATTATTTAAAAATTAATAAAATTATCTAAATTTTTATTAAATGAGTGCAATTTTAATAATTAGATTAGATGAACACTTATAAATTATATTTTCACTATGCCAGCTTGCAATCAAATTCTTTGTTAAAAATGGGATATTAACATCACTCATAATGATTAAATATTAATTGAGTATTAACAGTTGAAGCTTAAGTGATTTTATTATTTAAATTATTTTATAACCCTAATTAAATAAATGTCATCATTTTTCGCCGAGTTCAAAATCCCTAATCAACTAATTATTCATTTTAAATTTTATTACAATGCCTCTTCCTAAAAATATTTTCAAGGTATAAGAAATTTCTTTATAAAAAGTAAGTTAGATAAATAGTAAATTAAAAAAATATATATAAATAAAATTAATATTAAAATCAACATATCAAATATAAAATACAATATTATATAAAAACGGAGGTGGGCTACAAGTTCCCAAAAAACATGAGTAATTATATTTTAAAATAGTGATTTGAAGGTTTTGTTTTAAAAAATAGAATTCTTTTGGTTCTGATGTAAGGGCTCTTGTCTTATCCCTTATATTTTTTAAGATCTTTAAAGTTCCGCTTGGCATATGTCCAAGGGAAGAGATTAAGATCGGTGTAGAAATATAATTTGTGAATTTGAAATATTTCATTGTTTTTTTTTCTCGGCTATATCAACCAGATTAGAATTTAAATTTTTTGGGAAAGAAGATACGCATGTGAAGTCCCAAATTAAGGATTTCCCTAAAGACCAAGGCACGGAAGTTAAGCCATCTGGTCTTAAGCCATCATCTAATGATAAATTTGTAGGCTCCAGGATGTTTGGTATTCGGGCCCTGATAAGAGAACGGCTAATAGCTAAATTAATTGCTGCATGCCTTGCATGTCTGCCTTGACTATATATATAAAATTTAGACCATGTCTCCCTTTGGAGTCGTTGATAATTCTCTATTACATAGAATTGGTTACAAAATATTAAGTAAAATGTCATTTTTACAGACATATTTGACAGCTATAAAATATATTACGCTTAATATTTTAATAAATTTATTAAAATTTGTATTCAATTCTTATTTTTAATAAAAAATATATTATTAAAAATTAAACATATTATTATTCACCCCTCAATGGATGTAATCCTAATTAGTTATCTATTTTTCTTCTCTTTTTTATGTGTTTTTATGAAAGTTATTTATTTCTTCTTTGAAAAATTTTTTTGCGTTAAATATTTAATACAAGTAGAAAGCCCGTCAAAAATGACGGGGAATGAGATTTTTATTCATTTATTTACGATAGATGTCATGCCAGGTCCAAGCTCACAATATTAGGAAGCATCCAAGATCTTATAATTTTAAAAAAGTTTTTCAAGCCCAGCTCAACCCTTAATAATTTGTAAAAGATATTCCCAAGTCAGGTGCAAAATATTAATTATGAGGTTCCAAGCCCAGTTCTACCCATTATAATTTTGAAAATTTTTTCCCACCTGGAGATAGTTAAATTTTTAATTGATTTGTCATCACATGAAGGGGAAATATCTGATTTACCACTTAGTTTACGGGTTAACTCCTACTCCTAGTTATATATGCAAAAAAAAACATATGAATTCCATAATAAGGGAAACTGGGACAGTCTGGGGAAACCACTTATTAGAGAATCATGATAAAATCAGGTCTGCCCTAATATTATTGTAAGAATCAAATCTTACTTCTTTTTATTGGAAATAACCCAATATATTGTTATGGAGAATGACTCTGGTACTTATTTTCTAGTTAATATGGCATCCTTACCGTGTAAATAACTCAAGGCTTCAATATATTACCATAATTATTTATTCTAAAGAGTTTTATTGCTTTTGTTTTATCAATGTATCTAGCTTAATATATTCTGATATGAGTTTACATCGCAAGTGTCATGGCTATGACTTAACCAGTGGCTATGTAATTTAGAATATTAATCCTGCTGCTTAGAGCATTTGATAGCATAATTTAGATGAGCAATAATGGCCAAGTGTCTATTATTTATATATCATTAAAAATGGAAGATAATCTTTTAAAAATTTATTATCTCACATTAATTTTATCTATTACCTATCTAGTTTCCATAATGTCATCTAAGAGGAAGCTTTAGTCACCATATAGTTTTATGATTTGGAATAGACATTTCTATTATCTTCTTCAAGAATTATTGTTTTGGTTAGCCTTACAAATGTCTCCTTATTAGTCTATTCTATATAAAATTGTCTAAAATGGTAACAAAACGTTATAGATATTAGTTTCATGAATCATGACCCCTTTTGTCAATGTATTGCTAGAAATTATATTGCCTTATGTGGTTTTTAAAAACCATTACAATTGAGGCAGTGCGGGAATTAATTAACCTTTACTTTTAATTCTTTAAACATAAAATTTTTGATATCCTCAATCGAAAATATTTAATATTGTAATAAATGGATAATATTATCCTGAAATGTCTTGTATTGTTTTGCTTTAATCATTTGTGTGCAAAATAAATTACAAATAAGAAATTCAGAATAATTGTTCAGAGTTTGCAAATTTCAATTAAAAAGGTATAATTTATGGGCAAAATAAAGGCTATGGGGCCTTCGTCCCACATAAAATATTTTTAAATTTAGCTCCTTATGAATGTAAAGGCTAGTGACGCCCCTGATAGAATAACTGATCAAATTGAACTGAAATTCAAAGTTATTTACATGGGATTGAAACATCCGCAGATTCTAAATCTTTTATATTATAATATAGCCAAAGAAAGTAGAGTTAATTATAATTAGAATGTTTCAATGCCAGTAAATTGATAATTAAATTTTTAGTGAGTATAAAAAATTTGAACCAACATTGAAATTATAGGAACTTGAAAGGAATTCCAAATTTATATTAGGAAGGAAATTTTAAAGGTCAGAGATGCAGCTACCCACGATTCCCCAAATGTTGATGGTAAAAATGGTAAGTCGAATAAAATTATTGAACAATCTTTGGAATTTAATGAAGATGGAGCTGAAAACTAATGTTAAAAAGCTTGATTTTGAGTATATTTTTAAAAACTACTCGATTAATTTTAGCCAAAATAATATTAAGAAAACCTCGAGATTTGGCAGATAGATATCCAAATCTTTCTGCCTGCCATGAGCATCCAGGTTAACATAATATTTTTTGATCATAAATCGGGCATTTTGACATCGAAACAATACCCAAAGTCAAAAATTACAATATAATAGTAAAAAGAATAAAATAAATATAAATCATAATGTTGACAAATAACATATATATATATATATGAAAAAAAAAGAATTATAATTATGATGATAAAATTTTCAAAAGTGAAAAGTGTTATTTATATGTTAGTAGTAAAAGTATAAAATAATATATATAATAGATAATTTTTTTAATTTGTATTTAATTTCTATAATCGAAACCCAATGATATATCCAGGAGGACCATTATATAAAATGTTGTGACAGCCTGGACAATTTTGGATTTTTCTTTGAATTTCAAGCTAATATTTATTTTGATCATTATTGAAAAAATGTTACAATATCCTAATGTGTGTATTTTAAGAGCTTTTCAATCAAAATACTAAATCTTTAAATAAAAGAATTAACAAGAAATTAAAGAAGTTGATTATGATATGATCTAATAACAAATATAGTACAGATAACAATGATTTATAAAATAGTTGTTAAAAAAATAGATAGCCACCCAGGAGAGATATAATATAAGAGCCTAAATTGACATTGAAAAAACATTAGATATTGTTTATAGTATACATTAGATATTAAAAATCTGAGGGCAAGGAAATGTGTAAAAAAAATCAGATCATGGTGGGTTTTAGTAAATTTTTAACAATCTGAGATGGGTCTGACTTTCATAAATTTTGAGCCATGCTACAAAATTTTGGGGCAAATTTTTTTTTTTAAATTTCAGGGCAGTCAAAAAATTTAACAGGCCAAGCTGGGAAACATAAAAATTATTAATGGACTAGGCCTTACAGACCTCCACTAAGCATAGTTGTAGAAAAATTATTTTTGCCTAAAGGTAGCTTGATTGCCCAACATACTGCTAAAAATTATATAAGAAAATGAAAAAGATGCTTTTGGAAATAAAGTATATTAGAGTATCATTTGTCAAATAAAATGAAAAAGAACATTTTGATAATAAAGTATATTAGATATAAACTATTGATTATTAAAATGCTTTTAATATAAGAAGCTTTAGATTTAAAGAAATAAAAAATTTAAAAACAAAATTAAATCTTGGCTCAAAATTGTCATGAAACAATAAAGTTAGTTGCTAAATTGTAAACAAAACCTTATTATATTATTTACTAAAATTATTTTTTTATAATAGTTTATTTATATCAAATGCATAATAATTGAAACATATTTATATAATTTAAGCATATTAAAAAAGATGACACAATTGGCAAAGGTTAATTATACAAAAATATCCTTTAATATAAATTAGCCACATATGCCAAATCTTATTCAAAATTATTTGCAAAATTATAAATAAAAGAATATTTTTGCCCATATTTATTAAATATAATTGTATAATTTATTCTCTTATTTTTATAATAAAGATAGATTCAATAAAAATACATAATTTTATTTTTGATGATAAACTAAACATATTAAAATTTAGCATTGATTAAATATAAATGATTTAATGAATCATATAATATAATAAAAATACAAAACATGTGGAAATAACAAATGATAAAATTATGGTTTCCTTTCTCTTTTTTAATGAGATTTTTTGAGACAATCTATTTATTATTGGAAATTTTTCAATAATGAAATTAACTTTTTTTGATATCTTTAGAAGATTTCTTTTCTGCAACTTTAAATTTTCCTTTGTAAAAAAAGCCATATCAATGTGATGATCAATCAATTTTTCTGAATTTTTTAAATGTTCCTGTTCTTTTAAATGTAAATCTGTCCTTCTATTTATAGGAGAATATTTATAATATTCAGGTATTTGTTGTTTTTTAATTAAATTAGTTGTAGATCCTATTAGATCTTCTCTTTGTTTTGTATGTTTTAGATTATTTTTCAATGTTTCAAATTCATTCTTATAATCCTGATATATTTCTCTATGCCTTTGAAGGGTATGAAAATAAGTAGGAGGAAAATTTGATTGAGTTGGAGTTGCTTGATGATTTTGTACATGATTGCCCATTTTTTCATTTATTTCCTCTAGATGAATTAACAATCTTTGTATATCATTTGTTATCAAATCAATAGAATTTGTTTGCAAATTAGAATCAATTGCAGATGAATCTTGGGTTACAATATCTTTAACTTGCTGAAAACTATCGTTCCCTTTTATGGACAATTTACTCAAGGATATTAATTTGGAATCTATTTCATACTCCCATTGCATAGCCTCCTTTCGATATAGTTCCCACATTCCAGACATTATCATTTACAATAAATACTCAACGAAATAAATAAAAGGACAGGTGCAAGTTCACTGAGCAGAAAAAATTTCTATTTTATAGATATAATATAAAATACTAATTTATATATTTAAATTTGTATTATATTAAATATATAATCACACATTTGATAATATTTTTCTCTTAATCTCGTAACCTCATTTTTTTAAAAAATATTATTTAAACTTCTCTTATCAGATCATACAATGGGACTGGGGTGATAATCCCAAAACTAAGCTGAAACTCAACCACACCTTAGGGGATGTATTTAGTGTTGTGGATTAGGGCCTACTGTTTTTCAGTAATATACCCTACTCATAGGGCATTTTAATGATAGAAGAATGACAGTCTTCATAGTCGTAGCAGGAGGTGGAAAACAGAAATCACCCCTCAGAAATTTGCCTATTACTAATATCCTTTAATTGAAAGAAATAACTTAACATTTATACAACTACAGTGAAAAGCGTCCATAGAAGCAAGGGGTACATTGCCTCCCTTGAAATTTTTCTTACAAAATTTTTAAATAAACTTAATATAATCTTTGTACTATGCTAATAAACTAAACTGACTTCGTTAAAAAATTAATATAATTTTTAGAACGTTAAAAAGATTAATATAATTTTTATAACGTTAAAAAGATAATATAATTTTTATAACGTTAAAAAGATAATATAATTTTTATAACGTTAAAAAAGATTTATATAATTTTTATAACATTAAAAAATTAATATTATTTTTACTATATTAAGAAATACACTATTATTTTTACTACGTTAAAAAAGTTACTATTACTTTATAAAATTTACTATTATTTTTACTACCCTACGTTAAAAAAATATATACATGAGGGAAGCAAATTTAATATTGCTTATTCTTTTTAATAAATAAAGATAACATGGTACTGTGTAATTTTACCATTAAAAAATATTCATTGGGGAAGCAAGTAAAAAAATGCTTATTTTTTTAACAAATAAAAGAGAATGAAATTTTTTTATATAATATTTTTTTCCTTACTTTTTTAAAATAAAAAATTTTTCGTTTTAAAATCCTTAATTAATGTTTAATAATTGTAATTGTATTATTGAAAATTTATTAACATTATCATTTAGCTCAAGATATTTTGATGCGAAAAAAATGATTATCGAAAAAGGAAGTAAAAACCGATTTTACAAAACTTAAAAAAAGAAATCAAAACTTGCATCCGTAATTTTTTTAACGATAAATATGAAAAATATGAATGGCTCACTGGATGTAAATTTTCTAGGTCATGCTTATTATTCCCAAAGGAAAAATATGCTTTGAATGATAAAGAATTTTCGGATATGAATAATTTTTCAAAGGCAGTTCATAGAATTGTTAGATATTACTATTAGTAAATTCCAAATAATCAATTTCCCAAAATATTTATTAGATAATTTAAACGACACTTATTCTCAATTTTTTGACTTACACAAGCTGGAAACCGAATTAAAGGTAGTGTTTCGGGATGTTGAATTTAGAAAGAAAGAGAATGTTAATGAAATACTTGAATTTTTAATATGCACCGATTTGAAAAGTTTTAAAGAGTTTTTTAAATTATGCAAATTCATCTTAACTTTGGCTTCAACAACAGCAAGTGCAGAACGAAGTTTTTCATCTTTAAAAAGAATCAAATCTTATTGCAGAAACAGGATGAGCCAAAATCGATTATCGAATCTATCTTTGATTTCGATAGAAAAAAAATTATTAAAAAATTTAAAATCTAGAGTTAACTTTTATAATGCAGTACTTGATCATTTTACTCAAAAACAAAGACGAATACCACTTATTTATAAATCTTAATGTTTTTATGGTTTGAGTTTGACTAAAATAAAAATAAAAATATTTTTCTGATTGCTTCCCTATTAGTAAACTTGACGCTTCGTCACTGTACAACTACATTACAATATTACTCGTTTTAATGAAACTAACTAATACATACGTAAATATATCATTATTCTTTAGTAGCTAAATATGGAAATTATTCAATTATTTAAATTGTCATTCTTATGTGTGTAATCAGTATTAATGAAAGAAATATAGGTTCTTATGCAACAACATATGCTTGCATTCAAAGAAGTTGGTGAACAGTCTTTATTTTTTGATGATATAATAAAAATATTAATGGATGTGAATCTTATGTTCTCAATGCAGAAACTTTATTTTAATATTTGGTATTGGCCGTTTAAGGGCCCATAGTGTGAATGAACAAAGATGCCCCTGGCTCTGTCCCCTTTATTCCTCTCCTAACAATCCCCCACCCCACACCACCCTCTTGAATACTGTGACACAGTAGGTTCCATTAACATTAAATCATGATAATATTGCAACATCAAGCATTCTTGAATATAATATCACTGATATCCATTTCACCATTACTTCTTTGACAAATTCCTTGGATTGCCCAAACCTCGTTTGATTTCCAGAATTCCAAGAGGTGCCAGACAAGTTGTTTTTACCATTGATAGGCTGTTAAAAAATTCTCCTCTAAGTATGCATGGTCAGCCTTTCTTTTATTCGGCCACAAATCTTTACAAATTCACTGTGAATAGTAAATATTTCACTACGAATGTTAAACTAGCATCTTCTAATATCAATTATGAACCCCATGATATCATAACTCATACGTGAAACAAACAGGACGATTTAAAATTCAAGGTGAAGCTAATCAATAACAAAATAAACAAGCTCGACATAAATGGTGATCTTAGACTGTGCAGCTCCTTTGACACACTTGCTTCAGTGGATGCAGTGTCATACCAAAGACTACTAGATAAACATCATAAACACCGGAGGCTATAATGATTTGTGAAACCAAGAACCCTTCTCCAATTTTCACTTCGTAATAAGTATTTTCAGTGAGATCTTTTCAGAAGACGCGGCCCCTAGATTTGAAGGATGCAACAAGGTCATCAATGGTAACGTCCCTGTCGCCCTGAGAAAAAAGAATGGTGATATCAGGCCTATAGCCGTTGGTGTGGTGCAGTATATAGAAGATTATGTTCTTTATAGCTAGCAGTTCTGCACAAGTCCCTAACATACTTCTTCCTCTTCAATTAGGTGTTAGAACTAGCTCAGGATGCAAAGCGGCTGCACATTTAACTCATATTTATGTTCAGGATGCTACAATCATTCAACACCTTGTTAAAATCTACTTTATAAATGTTTGCAATGGCATTCACAGAAAAGTAATCATTTCACAATTCATAAAACATTATCTTTTCATCCTATAAAAAACCATCCCATTTGGTATTTGGCCCTATATCTTAACCTCTTCTGAAGCTATTCAATAGGGTGATTCCCTAGGCTCCATATTATTTTGACTGGGTATCCATGATTTGATCACTACGTTACCCCTACATTTATGGTACATTGATGATGGGGTCATCTCTGGGAATTCTGCTGAGGTTGAAAGGCTGTTAATATTATTAAGGCTTCCACTGACAGTCTTGGACTTGTAATCAATCGTACCAAAACCTAATATTGTGAAATCAATACAATTCCATCAAACATTTTAGGCTTTAAGCCAATGACATATGTGTCATTGCTTTAAGCATGTCCCCTTGAAGAATTTATCGCCTTTGAGCTCTCTCATTGGTAGGAGTCAGTGAATTCTTTTTTATAGCGATATGGACGATATATTTAAAAATTTAAAACAAATTCTTCCCTGTCTCTCACAAGGCCTTTTTTAAATTAGGAACTTCTTCAACATCCTAAAATCCTTTACGCCCCACGATCGAGCCCATTATTTCTAGAGAAGGTGCATCTAGTAAGATTCAAAACCAGAATAAGAATAAATCTTAGTGACTACTTAAATATCAAATTTACAGACATTGCTTGGCATCAAGCCACACTTCCTTTCAAACATAACGGACTTATGGGCAAAATCCGTCAAAACCACAACAATATTTCCGAGATCTACCACTTGTGAAAAACACCGTTGATTTCCTTATTTCGAGTCTTTCACCTTTGGCTAGGTCCACATTCATTGAAATTATCAAGGATCGGGGACATGAATCTTTAGATGTTATTCCATCTAGCAATCTTAAGCTTGAATTGCACAATCACGAGCCCAGCCATGCTCTATGTGACAGGCTCAACATTCCTTTCCATAACCATATAAATGCAGCAAATGATATACTTATGCTGCCAATATGGCGTTTCATCCTTTACATTGCAATCGTAACCCCGGTCGGCAAACCCGGCATTCAAGGTGCAATCAAATTATATCTCTTGCACTTAGGTTAGCTGGTTTTCCCACCTCATTGGAGCCTTCTGGTTTTCCCGATGGTAGGCGTCGTGAAAAAGTTACACGTATTTCATGGTTACAAGGTAGTTTCTAATATGGAATTTTTCTCGTTTCGACATGAACTCCCCTTTCAATTTTAACCAGGACCCTCTGAACAGAGCTCAAAATTTTAAGATCACCAAATACAGCGCGATTCTTCTAATTACATTTTCATACCAATCATCTGCTCCACTTTAACAACATATGATGATTTTTGGCTGAAATGTTATTTTGTTATTATGATTTTTTTTTATTTATCGTTTACTAACTATTTACTTCATTAATTTTTATTAAATATTTTTTAACGTGTCTCTACTAAATACTTTCTAAAATATTTAAATAAATACAATTCTAAAATAAATTATAATAAATTGTGTTTATCTAAAAAAAAGAAACAATTTTTAACCTTTTATTTTTAAATTAAAGAAAAATAATTTTCACATTTTCCAATGAAAATAATTATATTATTTTTCTTTGTTATAATATTACTTTTTCTCTATATTAAAAATATTGCAAAATTTACAATACTGGGACATGTCACACCTTAATAGGTACGAGGGATTCACACAAAAAAACTAATATTATATGTTAATAACTATTAGATAATTAAACCATAGAGTCGCATGTTACAAAATATTTTAAATAATTAAACTGAGAGGATTTTTCCATATCATATCTATCTTCATGGTGAGTAGTATTGATATTATGAGAGTAATTGCTATGGTATCGTCCTTCGGAGTCAATGATATTTGTCTAGCTCATCAATAAAGTTAGATGGACAGGTCAATGAGCATAGTATGTTTTTTCCCAAACAGTCTGGTTAAAATTGGGGTATTGTTTGAGGGGACGGTAATATTGTTGTTTATTTCTGGAATTGTTTAATTTTCATCTTGACATTCGGGATCATGGTCACCTAGTATTTATTATAATAAATTGCATAGTAGCAAAAATTTGTAAATTAACAAATTTAATCAAAAATTATTTATTTTATAAATTTTTTATGTTGTTTATCCTTCTGTAAAACAAAAACTATAAATTTATTAAAAATAAGTATTTAAATTTATAATAAAATTTTTTTAAAGGTAAATAAACGTGTTAAATTCAAATCAACATTTTTCTTTTTGTAGTAGAACCAAAGAAAACTTGCACATGGTACCATTAAAAATTGAATTTATTCAATCAGCAATATTCATAATTAAGCATATAACTGGATAGAATTTGACTTGCTATTTCTATAATAATTAATTTGTAAAGAGCATGCATTCACTAAAATTTAAATATAATATTCCCATTCTGTTAAGTCTGGCAAATGAAATCATGTATGATAACTACTTCATTTATTGTTCTTAATTATCAAAAAAAATAACCAAATCAATATATTTGAGTATTTTTACAGATTTTATGATGATTATTTTAATATATTAGCTAAGATTAATATTTCACATCTTATATTAGGAAATAATATTAATTAATACTATATAATACATTCTAAATTTATTTTTTTAACAGTCAATTTGATGGTATTGCGTTATAACTAAGATTTTTAATGGTAGTTAGGTAATTTGTCTATATTAAGCTAAAATTATAACTTTATAATAAATATTATTTAAAGAGGAATCATCATTAATATAAATGACTAATTTGTAATATAATTTTATAATATTTCACTCTGAAACACTAAAGGGAGTAGAGATCAAAACCAAAATTTTTGGGCATGACTAAAATATGTGCCCCTAAAAACTATGCTACCCTATCAAAGAAGCTTAATTTAAATTATATTAATACAGAATCTTATTTAGTTTCATAAGATGAGTTAGAAGATGTTTTTTTTATTTAAAAAAATGGCAACATAGTAAAATTTTAAAAAAAATTTAGTCAAAAAGAAGAAATTAAGTGTATTTTCAAAATCTCAAGTTATAAATAATTTATAAACTTAGTATTAACATTTTTTTAATAAGTTATATATGATTCTACGTTCATTTTTCTATAAATTAAGCTTCTTTGATAGGGGGCACATAGTTTAGTCATGTAGAAAAGTAATTTTTTAAAAATTTTACTATGTTGCTATTTTTAAAAAAAAAACATTTTCTAACTCATCTTATGAAGCTAAATACGATTCTGTAATAATATAATTTAAATTAAGCTTCTTTGATAGGGGGCGTGTATTTTAGTCATGTCCAAATTTTTTGATCCAAACCTCTGACCTAATTTTTTTTACATAAGCCTGGCCTACTGTTGTCTCTGGCCTGAATTAAAAAAAAATATATAAGGGATAAATATCATTTTTATTTTGTGCATTAAATATAAATATTCAATAATAACTAATGACATGAAAATGAATAGGTAATATACCTCCTCTTGTAAAATTTCTTTAATTTTTCATTCATATTATAATTTAATCATGTGAAAAATAAAAAACAAAAAGGAAATTTAACATTAATATTTTTGGGGTCATAGACCAGGCCTATGTTTTATTGATGATTTTTATATGACCCTGACCCACAAGGTTGATGGGCTGTCCTGTAAAACTCCAAGTTAGAACCTGGCTTTGTGGGCTGATTTGTTTTAATTATTTATCTATTTTTACTAAGTATTTATTATATAAAAGGGGTTGACCAGATATTAGATATAGTGCTGCTAGATATTTATTATTGTTAGTTAAAATATGGGTCTGCATAAATTTTGAAACTGAAAATATTTTGTGATTTCTATTGTTTTTAATTTAAATAATTCTAAATAAGATAGTAATATTATCTCTTCTAAATTATGTGTTTGGGTGTAAAGTCTTCTTATAGAGTTAGTTTTAGTCAAAAAAATTTTTTTGAATCCAAAATATATATTAAATTGTTAATCTTGCAATATTATGATATTAAAAGCAAGTAAACAAACACATTCACATTATACAACCCATGCAGAACATATTTACATCTAAGTGTGTCTCTATTTTCATTTTTTATATAAACTTAAAATCACCCCATCTTATAATTTGGTTATGGTTTTTTCACTTTACTCTATTGAAGGTTAATGATTGCAACACACCCTTTTTTGCTATTTTATATTATAAATAAAAAAGCTTAAGTTTATTTGAGGCTGTTAATTAAAAAATATATTTAATTCAAAAAATTTTGAAACTATATCAGAAACATGAAATAAACCTTTTTTAAAATAAAAAAAATGAGTAAAACATATTTGTAAAATTGCTTTCCTTTCTCACTTTTATCTATCTTTTTCTAATATGGTTTATAGTTTATTATGTTTTAATTTATAAATTTTTTTGATGGTTAGGACTTTTGTCTCTTCCAGGGCCTAACATTAAGTATTTCAATTATAATTCTTTAAAACAAACATTAAAATAAATTGTATGATTGTAAATCATGGAGCAATTTTAATTTTAAGAAAGTGAAAATAACATTCATTTGGGCTATTTGACGCTTTAAAATAACAATAATATTACCCAAATTAAAAAAAATACATGTTTAACTTACTATCACCCAGGGGTTTGAACCGAACCCAAACCTGGAGAAGAAAACCTGAATTTATGGGAAAAACCTGAACCCCGTTTATAAAATTTTCAAAACCCCGAACTAGGGATGTACCGATATTTTATATCGGATCGGATCGGGCCGATATTTCGCTCATTTTAAAATATCGGTTATCAACAAATATTATAAAATTTTCCCATCCGATATAAAATGGCGCTTTTAACAAAATTTAAAAAAAGTTATATCTAAAAAACCATTTATTTTTATAAATAAAATCGAAATACATTTTTATGTTTAATTTTTTTAATAGAAATAATTAGTTAATAAACATTCTGCAATATAGTTATTTTTTTTCGCATTCTGTTTAAAAAAGTGTTCATTAATCTCTTCAGTATCTGTTTTTAGTGATGCTAGTGATATTAACAGTCCCCATCACCGCCGACATATCTCTGATATAAATCGATATATTAATTTTAAATATTAATTTCAAATTTCATAATATATTTTTTTATTACTAATTATGTAAATAGATTAATGTTATTACTTATTATATAAATAATATCAATTGAATTGAATATAAACTATAACTGACCATTATAATATATTTAAATGACATATGTTATGGTATAGTAAAATTATAGATGTTGTACTAATAAAAAGTATATTAAAAATTAAAACCGGTATCTTTGCAGAATATAAAATTAGATATGATATCGGATCGGTTATCGGCCGATATCAATTTAATATCTGAAATATCGGATCGGATCGGCCTTCAAAAAGTGGTATTGGTACACCCCTTACCCCGAACCGAACCCGGGAATTTTATTTGAACCCAGGTTCAACTGGGCTCAGTATATTGTTTAAATTAATATAATATATTTGTATAATTGTAAATATAAATATTAATAATTTACTTGACATTTTATAATATTTTCAAATTTCCATTTAAGTGAAGTGTTAATAAATTTTAAACAACTTAATTCATTTACTCCATTTTTAAATTTTTTTAAATTTTTTCTCAAAGATTCCTATTGGATTGTTAATAAATTTTAAACAATTAAATTCATTTATGCCATTTATTTAAAATTTTTAACTTATTCACAAAGATTATTAATTAGAGGAAAATGAAAGTAAACAAGTCAAAGTAAAAATTATTTTATTGGATATTGTTAATTTAAAGAAAAACGTCTAAATAAAATTTTTTAAATATATATGTACATGACTATGCTTTGTATTTTTAACTATTGCCTATAAATAAAATAAAAAATTTATTTTTACACCAAATTTATGTCTGTTTTTTAATTATGATTTAAATCTAGAATATTTTTTTTTATCACAAAAATTCTTAAACCTGGAACCCGGTTCAATATTTACCTGAACCAAACCCACCTATATTTTTTTAAACCTTATTCGCATCCCTGCTATTACCACTAATGAATGTATTAATAGATGAGATTGATAAAAATTTAATTATCTTATTTATACTATATTAAATTTTTTTTAAATTTAGTATATAATATATAATATTAAGATCAATATATTATTTCCTCTATATACATTTGGTACCATATAAACTAGTTATCATAATTAAAGAAACGTAGAAAATCAAGAGGTGTAATAGTCTCGGAGTCAGAACAGTGAAAAATTGGGCTATGATTGTCTTATCGTATATTTTTTAAACAAAGATAAAACATTAAATATTTTCTAGAAGTATAACCTTTATTCATCTAATTCAACACTGCAATATCGCCCTAAACTGGAATGTGTTTTTTTTAGCATGAAAATAATCTTCAAAATAAAAAGAATTTTTTTTAAAATTTGTGATTTCATTTTGAAAGATTTTTTATGCACGAAAATTACAAAATTTTTTAAAATAGAATTTGGTATTTTTAGGTAAAATTTGAAAATCTCTCTTTAAAAAATATTTTTTTCAGACTCTATTTTTAGCCTAGCATATTCAGTAAACTAACCAAGTGTTTGTATAAAAATTTTGGAAACCGATTTTATATAATTTTATATTTTTGCACATCAACCGGCTAACATGGTGTTATTATTAACGCATTTACGAATTTGAACGCGTTTCTATATTGAAATTTGTTTTCATTTTTTTTATTCTTAGCTTTAATATGTCATTTTACAAAAAATATCAGAGTTTATTATTTTTCGCATAGACCACTGGTATTGGTTGAAATGGAATCGGCCAATACCGATACTGACATCTTTGTCCAATAGTCGTTCGATATTAATTTTAGGCTGTTTCAAACTTCAAAAAAGTTAAAAAGGGATCGGCTACATACAGATCTAGAGCAAATTTAAATATAGTTATTTTATCTGCCAAAATCGACCTTTACTATCTCTGGGTTTCTTATTTAACAATCTCTGCCCAAACTTTTAGTTACGTGGAGGTTGACAGATATGTTAAAATTGAAGTATCTTTTTTTTGATGTATCCCAGATTCTTCATATCTACATTATTAAATGAATTTGCTTTTATCATTTATTTTATAAAATTTACTTGCATTTAGTTTATAAAATATTTCAACTGGGGGGGGGGACTCGCTGCCTCCATAAGATGGCGTCAATGTCTCTGTTTTTAAACAAGGGAATTGACATTGACAGGCCGTTTATAACCTAAGCCTAACCCATATATCTCACATCTTTAACACTAAGCTATATCTCTTTCTCTTAACTCATTTTACGATTTGGGCTAAAGAGTTTGTTTTGCACACAATATTATATGCAAAGTAAATTACTTTAAATCTATTCAAATCAAACACGGTTTTAAAGATGAAAATATACTTTTTTTAAAAAAAAATTATAAATTGCATCATTTCTTGGTAGCATATTTATCCTATTAATTTTGTCCTTAAGTTAAAATTTAAAACAAACCATCTTCATCTTTTTTAAAATTATTTTACGTTTTCTTCATATATTCATAATAAAATAGCTTATTCAAATCTCCTTTATAAATTCATCATTTTTTTTTTGTATTTCTTCAAAGTTCGTTATCCGATATCCAACACATTTTATTATTATTTTTTATATACAGACGTATAATACGTGTTGTTACTCATCTTCATCTCATCATTATGACGTAATTGTGTTTAGATTAAACATTATAAATAATATTTTTTTAAAAACTCTAACCCTCCCCCTCTCCGCCCTTCTCATTTTTTCACTTAAAATTTTGTTTATTTTTATTTGTTGTTAATGCCGATTTGTTTCTAGCCATGCTAAATAATTTTTCTTCTTATTTCTCATCATAATTCGTTTTTCTTAATTTTTTTTTTTAAATTTATTTATTTAATTTATTTCTCGGAAAATCATTATATATTATTTATTTTTTTAAAATTATTATTTGTCATTTTTTTTTTGAAATAAAATAAAAAATAATTGAAATAAATAAAGGGGATAAACGAACCAATAAAATAAAATATAAAATTTAATGTACTTTGTAAAACTACCGGGGTCAAATTTTTAGCTCAATGTGGAGGATGGCCTCCCCCGCCCTGATTTTAAAAAGATTGATAAATCTCTCTTCGGGCTTCTAAAAGTTATCAATAGTTTTGTCGGCTATGAATGTCGTCACGAGATTTTTAAACAAGGTAAATTATTAACCTCGGCTCGGAAAATTAAATCTTACCATTTTACGACGTCACGGCTTCTGATTTGTATCGCGACGTAATTACCTACTATCCCAAAATTCTCAAATTATTTAAATATTTTGATTTTTTAATAAAATATATTGATTGAATGAGTATACATATAAAAAAAATCATGTCTTTAAGAATTTACTTGCTCCATATGTATTCCAAATGTAATATCCATTTGTTTAGACCTCCACAATTTTCATTGTTTCTGTGAAAATAATAAGTTTTCATGGTTTAAAACCATCTATGCCTATGCAGGCAATAAATTGCGCAAATTAGCTGGAAAAAATAGTATTTTTTTTTCAAAATGGAATGAAAAAAAGATTGCATTAATTTTTTTATTAGGGAATAAAATTGCACGTGGCAGTAAGCTACATTAGGGCATCTTTCGATTTTATACAACTTTAAAGTTTAGCACTGCTTATTTTTTTATGAGGGAAAAGGAGATAAATTTGTCAGATTCTTAACCGGCTTTCCAGCCCCGCCCAAAAAATTTAGGTCCCCTTTTTAAATCGCTAAAAATTAGAATTCTCGCTTATATCTCCTATAAAAATTTTAAAGTAAATTTGAAATTGATGTAAATAGATGTTAGGGTGATAAACACATCTATTTAAATTATGTATTTAAAAAAAATATCTAAAAATGTTAAAAATATCATTCATATTCCTATCACAAATTTTGCACAAGTTACTCCGGCCAGGCGGTTAGGACCCCAGACCTGATCGTGACAATATTTTTTGACAAAAAAATATTATGCTTAGGCGATAGTAAGGGCGGTACTAGTATTATTTATCATAGAAATAAAAAAAAAATTTATCGATTTTTCGTGAAAGCAATTTTCATCATTTACATAATAAAAATTTTATTATTTTTTTCGTTTTTTATAAAAATAAAATGAATATATACAAAAAAATACATTTACATATTAATGAAGATGGAATGTGATATTTAAATTTTTTATTTTACACAATATAAATTTTTTTAGATCATAATATTTAAATTGATTGATTTTCGGGATATTTTCTTATAGAACCATTCTTTCTTTCATTCATTCATTTTTGACAATATCGTATTTCTATTTACAGATGTTAAAACTAAAAAAGAAATTCTCTTCATGAATTAATAACGGGGCATTTGTCTTTGGACACTCGATTTCAAAATCATTTATAACAAATCAAAAAAAAATGCAATAAAACATGAATCAACGCCGAAAACGGGTTGAGATATCCTCGAAAAATGTTATTTGCGATTTTTATGATGGCGGTAATTCAACCCAGGAAAGCTGCCGCGAAAATCTGGAGTCCAAAAAGGCCCATTGTTACGGTTTATGGAAGTTCGATGCCGAGACCGATGAATTCAAGATTATGAAAAAAGGTTATTAAAATATTATTTCATATATAATTTTTATACCTGTAGTCCCAGGCGGGACACAGCCTGGAACGAGCTAGATATAGTATTCCTAGAAAAAAAATCTTTGGGCATGGCCTAAAATGAATATTAATCTTTTCAAGTCTGCATAGCACAAACTGTTATAATGTCATCTCTGAATTGTTCCGTTAAAAACATCTGTCTGCCGTAACTAACGATCGGTCGTTAGTTTTCAATAGATGAGGAGAATAATATGAACCGATTCGTTTATATATACTTAGTGGTATTTTTATGACGGGTTTTATATCTTTTACGAGATATATTTATTTATAAACTGTTTTTTTAGGCGGTGCCCTAAATATTAGTGATCTGCACGGGCCTAATTTTTTAGGCCCGACCCGGCCCGAAATTTTTTTTAAAAAATTTTTCCCGGCCCGGCCCGAAATTTTTTTAAAAAATTTTTCCCGGCCCGGCCCGAACACGAAATTTTTTTAGAAACTTTTGCCGGCCCGGCCCGAACCCGAAATTTTTGCCGGCCCGGCCCGAACCCGAATTTTTTTTAATTCATCCTAAAGTAATAATTATATTTTTTTTAGCTTTTAGTTTATTTTTTATATTTAAGATTTTGTTTTTGCAAAAAATATCTTAGTAAACAGAAAATTTATTTAGTATTTAATTATTTATTTAAAATACTATCAAAAATACCTATAAACCAAAAATAATTATAATGTTAAATTACACAACTATATATTAGATTCATATTTATAATTATCATTTAAAAATATCAAAGCATCAACATTTTCTGGTGACAGTCTATTTCTTCTTTCGTCTAATAACCTTCCAGTCTTTGAAAAAGTTCTCTCTGAAGTTGTGGACGTTGCAGGAATTGCTAGAATTTTTCTAGCCAATTTTGTCATCTTTGGTAATCTAATTTCATTTTTATTCCACCATTTTAATATATCTTTTTCTGGATCTATATTTTCATTATTCTCTTTTATGTTTAAATTCTTATAAATTTCAAGCTCATCTGTTTCTTTTTTTTCATATTCTTCCTCATTGTCCTCCCATCTTTCATATTCATTGCCTGATATATAAAAATAATATAAATAGAACAATTTTAAATGTACCTTTAGATCTTTTAGGCGATTCCACAATTTGAGAAACGCCTTGAATATCCAAATCTATAATATCAATTGAAGGACAATATTCTTCAGAATTAATTATATTTTTGACTGAATTCTCTACTTCTAATATTTCCATTGATGATAACATTCTTAATTTTCTATATTTGGGGCATAAAAATGTCGCTATTTTATGCAAAATATTGATTTTAAATTTAGATAATAAAAAATTTTTTAAATTGGTTTTTATTTCTTTTATATCATTGTTTTGATAAAATGAATCATTTAAATCCTCGTGAAGAATATTATTAAAGCATAGCAGTACTTTTAAAGTAGGATTAATATCTCCTTCTAGTTCTTTAGTAGCTTTATCAAAAGGATATAAAATATCAATCAAATTTTTCAAAATAGATTTCTCCAAGTTTTCCATTTTATTAATATCTCCCTTGGATGATAAAAAATTGACGATGTCATCATATTGGTTAATAGATTTCAACATATTTAATTTTGAATTCCATCTAGTTTCGATATCTTGTTGTAATGTTTTGTCTAAATATTGATTCATACCGGTTTGTTTAAAATACATGGTTAATTTTTTAGCAGAAATAAGGGTTTGATATATATTAGGAGCGATAATTTTCAAAGATTGTTCCTTAAAGGTATTTCGAAGAACAGTATTTAATAGATGTGCGCTGCAATTTAATCTGGTGTATTTTTCTAGGGCTTTAATTATATTAGCTCCTTGATCAGATATAAATATTATATTTTTCACTTGATCGGGAATTATTCCAATTGCAGCAAAATTTTGTAGCATTTCCTTATGTATGTTCACGGCGGTTTTTTTCTCTTCTTTAAACTTATTCGTAAATAAAACATGTTTATATAAGGTTTCACCTTCGATATAATGAATTGAAACAGTTAAATAGGAAAACTTTTTAAAAGAATCTGTCCACATGTCTGTTGTAGCAGAGCATTTTTTATCAAATAATTGAACATTTATTTTATTAACCAAATTTGTTCTAATTTGATCCGTCATAACTATAGCATTTCTCGATAAAGTAGTTGGATGGGGAATAATTTCGCTACAGTCAATATTACCGTAAATGGAGCCAATTTGAATAAAATTTTGAGCCATTTTTATAAAGCCATCTCCAGTTATCGAATCAAAGGCACGCATGTCCTTGGCGCAATAATAGATCAAGGTATCACATAGTTTCTTTTTAATAGTTAAGGAAGAATTTAGATCTATTTTCTTTTGAATATACCTAGTTATTTTAGGAATAGAGGAATCGTCATTCTTAACGCACTTGTGACGTCTTAAATGAGAATTTCCAGATGTGCTTTTATATTGTAATATACTATTACATTTTTTACATTGGACGTAATCAAGTTTTTTGTTTTTATCATCAAATATGTCTTCAAAATTTTCCCATATATTGCTTTTACCTAAATGGGGCAAACAAATATATGTTCCATTTTGTATTTGTTTTTTTAAAAAAATTAAATTCATTTTTAAATTATATTTAAAATTTAAGTTTTATAAAAAAACATTTAAATTATTTTACCCATAATAAAATATATATGACATATGGCGTCTACTTTCTAAATAAATAAAATATATTTATATTTTACAAATAAAAAATGTTGCCGCCTTGTTTCTTAAAAAAAAGTTTAATTATATATTTATACCAAGAATAAAAGATACATGCCATCATATGGCGTCTAGCTTCTTCAAATAAAATTAAATATTTTTATTTTACAAAAAATATTAGTGCCAATATTAAAAATATTTTAAGGCCCGGCCCGACCCGGCCCGAATTTTTTTAAAAAATATTAGGCCCGACCCAACCCGAACCCTAATTTTTTTTTTAAAGTAGGCCCAAACCCGGCCCGAAGCCCGTTCGGGCCGGGTACGGGCCTGGCCTACTTTTGCAGATCTCTACTAAATATCAATAAATTCGATTTCATACACTTTGAAACTTTATTGAAAAAAAAAGAAATATATATATAAAGACATGTCCAAAATATTATTGTAGAAAATTTTTAAAAATTTAAACGATAATTAAAAAAAAGATTTTGAACATAGCCTTAAGATAGAGAAGAGACGTTTTTTTTGTTAGAATCTTGAAATTCAATTCCTATCATATGCTTTATTGCATATTTATCTATTTAAAATATTAACTTATTATTACTATGTTGTGATTATAAACTGTTTGTTTTCCTTTTAAGAAGAAAAGAAACCAATGGTTAAAAACATAATATTAAATGTTTTTTTTGAAGATACGTTTTTAATAATTTAAGCCATGTCTTGGTTCGTCTCATTTTTTTGAAACTTATTTCAATTTAGTCCAGACTATACAGATTTTGAACTAGGACTTAAATGTATATATTAAATGAATATTATTTGTATAATTTTTCTGTACAAATAGACAAAAGGACCCGTGATCTTTTACGTAATTCTAAATATCTTTCTTTTTAGACTGTTTGTAGGATGCTATATAGATAGCTAAAGAGACAATTTATACGAACCAGGACACGACCTCGGTGTTTTTTATTGTATAACCATAATATATTTAATCTGACGATGGGGACTGAAAATTTTGAATTCCGGAGATGTCACGAACCGAACCAGGACACACCTTAATATTTTTTGTTTTAATCATAATATAGTTAACTTGACGAGGGGGACTTAATATTTTGAATTCCATACATAAGGCACTGAATTGCACAAGTTTACTGGAAGTCCATTAGTTACTTACATTTTCTAATCATATTGAAAATTTTTTAAAATTAGATCATTTATCCGACGTGCCGTTTTATCCACTAACTTTTGCCCGACCTTTTACTGTGAATATTATTCACTTTCAGAGTTTGAAACCTGGACTAAAAGGGTTTCCATCAGGGATGTGAACCCTTCGACAAAAAAAAGGGTCCAGGTCCGGGTACAGGAATAAAATTTGAAAAGACCCGGGTTCAGGGCTCGGGTCCGGGTTCAGAGAAGATAAAAATAATGACTCAAAATAAGATTTTTTTTCATTCATTTATTATTATATTTCAATATATATATATAAATTCATAATTTACAAATGAAAAATTTAAAAATGAAATAATTTATATTTTTAGATGTTTTATTCTCGCACAATCATAATATCTTCTAAAATATCATCCTTGAGATTTCCACGTAAAGTAGACAATATATATTTCAAAGATGAAAATTCACGTTCTACCCATACCTAAAATAGATAGTTATCTTTATAAAATTATTGTACTTGTGTAGCCGGTTCAGCCATGAAGATTCTAGATAAGATATATAATCCGGATATATTGAAGAATTTTCTTTCCAGAATCTTAAATATTTATATCCTTATTTATTCTCTTAACTTCTGAGAACTTTACTATTAAAGATGCAATAGGCATTTTTTGATCTTTCTTTCCATCTGATAAAAATTTGATTTCTTTTTCTCTATCTAAAGTAAAATTTCAAGACCAACAATGTTTCTATCATTATTATTATTATCACTACAACCAGTAGGTATTGGAGGCTAAAATGGAGTTTTGCGTATGCCATAAATCCTTAAGATGGTCTTTAGCAATTTGTTTTTGCTCAATACTTAATAAAACTTGATATCGAGGATCTAAATATATAGAAGCGTATACAACACTATTTTGCAAATTTTATTGCCTCGAATTTTCATGTTTTCTAATATTTCGTATAAAAGAACTGTAAATTTTTCTAATCTAATCGGCATCTAATCCATATTCCATAAAAATCAAATAAACATAATTGTTCTGATTGTATTAATATTGTTATTTTTAAAGGAACTAATACACTAGTCCTTTATTTGGCAACAATCATCTTCCGACAAAATGACTTCACATGCTCCTATAATAAAATCATTACAGAAATCTTTCAAACTTAATCGTTTTAGCATCCATACAAATTGAGGACGAACTTGTTGTGCATTATCATTTAAATTAAAATATTATTACACAATTCACTTTAAAATAATCAACGTATTTCTATAACATAGCATATTAAAAAATTTACATAATAAAATATTATTACCTACACTAATGATATCAATCTCTAAATAAAATGGAAGTCCAGGAAGAAAATTGAAAGAAAAACGCGAAGATAAAATAAATGATTCCACAAAAAAGTTAATAAAATTTTAAAAAATTTATATTATTTTTTAAAAAAATATTTTTATTTTTAAAATTTTTTATGACACCTAGAATCCTTGGACCCTCCACTTTTAAAAGGGTTCGGGTTCAACCAAAATACAAGGTTTCAAGAGGGTCCGGGTTCACATCCCTGGTTTCCATTTAAAATATTTTACAAAAGGCGGTTCCGGTTCATAAAAATTAAAAGACGGGTAATACATTCGGAGTTTGACCAGCTGTTTCAAGAGACTATAATACGTAAAAATGCTTTTTTGATGTTGCGATTATAAGCGATCCTTTTTTTAAAAAATAAATTGCTTTTTTTAAAATTGAAACAAATTAGGCTGTTGGCTAAACGACGCCAATTGTGGCGAAGAACCCAAATGCTATTCAATAGAAACCAACCAACGTCGTCGTATACCTTCCCACGTATTTTGCTGCTGTTTAGGGCATCACTGCAACTCCGAACACAATAACTTACTGTCGTATTACGAGCGTGATGCGGCGTTTAATTTATATAGCAAAAATCCCGGTTATCACACAAGTAAGTTGCTATTCCATGTCAAATAGTAAGTTACGATTTGGCCTATCCCTTTCAATTTTTTACAAAATTTTACACACAAACTAATTTCATGTAACCTATACTCGAATTTTTAGTTTCCTAGTTTTAATACTTTTGAAGACATCACAGGTTAAACTAAAACCATATAAAATTACCTTTCCTCAACTAGTGTCTTTCATTGAATTAACGATTGATTAAAAACTACGAAATTGTATGTAACTAATAAATTTTTTATCAAAATAAACTCACACACTTTATATTAGAAACTAAAAATTATTTTTAAAACTTGAGATCCTCATAAATTAAAACGGGTTTCTCAGATTTTTTATAAAAATTTAAGAAAATATAAAAATTACCATCGTATATGAATATAAAAATTTTTTTGAGGGGCATTACGACTTCATAGGTAAAAAAAACCGTTAACTAATAATTTTATACTATAGGTGGCGTATTTGTTATTTGTCTCACCGTGGTTTGGTCCAATTTTTATTATCAGTTTAACTTGCTATTGCTATATATAAAACAATAATGATATAAAATTGAAAATTTTTATTTATTTTCAAATATAAATAAGTAAAATATAAAACCAATACACACAGTGACAATATATTTATATTTTAGAATAAGGTTAGCTTTATGAAAAATTTCCCCTAGTCTTTTTTAAGGAACACCTCGATTTATCCGATTTTTATTAAACTTTAAATCAAAGCTTAACCAAAAAATATTATCTAAGCCTCGATATTTCGCCAAAAAATAAACAACCTTACCCAATACACATGTTAGATTATTTGATAATCATTTATTTCTATTCTTACTTTCGAAAATTATTGTTCATAAAAAGGAACACAATCTTATTCAATTATTTATACTTATTTGATAATTATAAAAAAATATATTATCCTTTCTAGCAGTTCGAACCGGACACACCCGTACCGGATATGTTTTATATCATATATAAATAAGAAATGATATATAATTTTTAATGCCTGGTCCGCGAACAAGGCATTGGTCGATGGATGATGCTTTAGCCGGATTGTGCGGATCTCAATAAAACAAATATGGTTTAAGTTCTTATCTTATTTGATTTTTTCTATCATCATCAATTAAAGAATTTATGCCATTTTTTTAATATTGGAAATTTCTAAAGCTGAGCCCGAAAGGCGAGCTGGGGCCAAATTTTTTAAAAATAAATGACATCTAAATCTTTAAATTTTGGCTAATTTAGAGTTTATTTTGGATCAATACTTAAAATATACAGCCCGGCCCTAGGCCTAGCCCGCAGACCAAAATCTCATGGCTCAAGCATTAAAAATGCCGTGATTGGAAGCTTTTAGATCATTTTATTGTTTAAAAATAAGAATATAAAATACGGCCAACTATAGTATTAAAAATATTGCCATCTTTTAAACTAGTTTTTATCGATTTTACCTATAGTCGAAATGGCTCACATTCAATTTGGTACTGTTATAAAATGGTAATAATAATTAAAATTTTATAAAAATCAAAGTAATAATGCATCCAAATTGAGCATTTTTCGATACGTTGAATGGCAAATATAATGTTCAAATAATATCGTTTAAAATGGCGCAATTCTATCATTGCGTATGAGTTTTTTTAAAAAAAATTCCGCTTCAATTTAAAGAAGGGCGGCGTTTCATTTTTTTAGACGTTCATCATGGAAACACTATATACCTTTTTTTCTTTATTAGGATTTAAAATTTTATTATTTGGAATGGCCTAGTTTATAAATAATCACGAATTAATTGAGAATTGATACGCATTATTCGTAAAAATTAGAAGGGAGCGACGCAAAATCATGTCGATCTTATATAGCCCTATATTGTGAGTAAGTATGACTGACATATTTGAGTAGTAATAAATTTATGTGTCACTTAATCGAATAATATTTCTCCGTTATAAATTATTATAATATTGTTGTGCATCCCCTTTTCTCTTTAGGCTCCCGGACCTCATTACCCATTAGTAGCAAATCATTCCTCGTGGATTCCGTTACATCGCCCCCACCCTCCCTCACCTCTCACTCCGATCTCCCATCGTTTAATCATGGTTCCCAACTTTCCTCGCATGCCCTTTTAATTGCAGCTATAACCGTCGTTCCTATTTGTTTGCTAGCTCTGGTTGCTTTTCTAATTTTCGCTTGCAACACCCTCCGCCCCAGAAAGGCCAAGGCGAATTCACGCGACAAACATTTTTATGACGAGGGCGATGTATCTTCAACCTATGATCAACTGATATCGAGGGCTGATACATGTTTAAAAAATGATGATCGGTCTCTTGATATAGTTTTGTACCGTAGTATGGCCAAATTATGTTCGCGTCGTTATTACGCAATACCTTCATTATATCACCCCTCTAACGAGAATATTCAAAATATATTCACATATATTTCTAATTATAAGACTGCGCCTATCTTAAATTCTTCCTTGGTATCTATCGTTTATAAAGTTGAGTGGTCTAAAGTCTTTGGAGAAGCAAATTCTGAAAGTTTTAAAACGGAATTTGTTGTAATTAAAGCCTACGAGCCAGACCGAAGTGATTCCTGGATCCGAGAAATGAGGGTTTATGCGTTACTCATATTCGGTCTACCTTTTCATTCGGACACAACGAAAAGGGATAATAAGGATTTAAATTTCCAAAAATCGCAGAATAAATATGCTTATTCCCATCAACATCCAAATTTATTGCCACTTATCTACGGCATGAGTTTAAAATCCACAAATACTATTAAAGATATGAAGTTAACGGCAAACGGCACGAAGAATCTTATCGGCAAGAGAAAATCTAAGCTACATAAAAAATTGGATGAGGAATGGCAAATAAAATCGACAGCAAGGCATGATCTTACCGGGATACTAATTACGCCATATCAAGTGATCTATATATATTATAAACATCATACTTTAAAAGTTGTATACTAGTTAATATATTATAACTTGCCATAGTTTTTAGAATAATATATAATCTTAAATATACGTTTTAAAATAATCTACTGATATAACATTTATTCATCTGGATTTCTATAAAAAAAAATTTCACCTCACATTCTCTCCAAACATCTTTAGAAAGATAAATTCAATGGTACGCTTAAATTTATATTTATTGAATGAAATAAAAAAAAGGCACACTTTGACTGTGATGCGAAAGACTTTGATTTTATGGTACAAACGCTGTACCTAAACATGAAAACTTAAGAAAATCTTTAACTTATCTGAAAAATTTGTAAATATAAGTAATGATCAGTTCATGACTGTTGAGTGGCGTTTTTTTTTCTATACTATTTCTTAAAATTCAAAAATGCACATATACTCGAAAGATCGACCCATACTTTTAATTTTAACCGATACCCAAAATGATAATTAAGCTATAATTTTTTCTTAAAAGAGATTGGCCTATTAAGCCCTGAATTTTATAAAAAATATGTAATATCATTATCATTTTCAAAAGTATGGCGAATAGTATATTTGTTGTGATCTTTAATAAAAATAAATCTTCTTCCCATAATTTATAATCATGAAAATGATCAAAGTCCTAAAAAAACTATTATATCAATGTTCAATATTAATCATTCCTAACTTAACTTGATCCAAAATTTGAACTTTTTACAAAAACTTGAAATTGAACAAAACAAAAAATAAAAGTTGAATAAAAAAACAAGGAAAGAATTTAAATATAAAATTAACCTTACTTTAAGAATAGAAACATATTTTAAGGACGAATGTCAATCTCAAATTGGCACTTACCACATATTTATAATCAAAAAAATTGAACGGAAATTATCTTTATTATTGATTTTACCCTTAATATATCGGACATGTATGTAAGACTTACATTATTCTCCTTACATGAAATTTAATAGTTAGGAAAAATTTTTTTGGCGATCTATTGATTTAAAGTAATATGTTTTTTTATATAAACATCTTTTTTTATATAAAAATAATAACTATCTGTTATAAGATTATGACGTAAAAGTTAGGCGTACATCATTGGGACACGTTCAATCCCGAGAATAACGTCTTTTAGGCATGTCCCGATCTAAAAATTAAAGACCATAGGACTTTTGAATTTCTCCTAACAAACTTATTTAATACAACTCTTAATATTGAAAATAAATTATAAAACGATTTCTTAGGATAGCGGATCCCTCTACGATTACCTCGCTCATAATCTAATCAATTGGAAAATTTTGATAAACATAGCCATGGACATTTCTTCCGCTCTCGCTTATTTACATAATACCGATAATCTTTATGAATACCTTGACTCATACGCCCTTTGCAATCAAAACTACACAAATTATATTTCAAACAGCGCGAATCGAACCAATTTACGAAACGGGCGTTGTAACACGATCGGTTCCGACAGCAGCGATTTTCAAGTAAAGTACCTCCCCTCCGACTATATGAACACCTGCGACATTCACAACAATACGACCTCTTCATCCTACCTCGCAGAAGATGACGATGATCATGGCAATAATACGTGCAAAAATAATATTCATGATATATTCGATAACCATGACGATACACGACAGATGTATACTCAAATTAAGTCTAGGGAGCACCTCAATTTTACACCCACCAAATATTACAAACCTAGCATCGTTCACAAAGACGTTAAAAGCAAAAACATTCTGTTGTCCACTGAAAATTTTAGGCTGAAAGCCAAACTGTGCGATTTCGGCTCCGCCTTGATAATGGATAGTCGCGATACTGTCAATAAATTCGGCTTTAAAACGGAACAAAATGTTCAACAGGTGAACCTAACTTTAATTTTTCATACAAAAAAAATATACATTCTTTATTTTATAACACCATTTTACATTAAGAGAATACAATTATAATTTGGGAAATAATTTCCTGGTAATTTTATAATTGAAATTCAATTACTTTTATCGTTTTTTTTTGAGGGTGAAAAGTTTAAAATTTGATGTTAAACATTAATTAAGCAATTTCTCAAGTCCTAGAAATTCCTTTTCCTTTGAGATTAACTTATAAAAACAAGTTTTCCCTTTCCGCTAAAAAAACCTTATTCCAAGATATTGAATATTTCTCAAAATATACTTTATTTATCATTTGGTCTTTTTTCAATATTTATTTTAAAAATTCAAATTTTACTAATATTATTATTATTGAGATCGAATTAATATAATTAGGAAGTATTAGTCAAAATTATTAGATAACGTCGTTTTTAATTTTTGTAGAACTAAGATTTATATAATTGCAATATTTTACAGTTTGCAATACGAGTAATTTTAATTTCATGTTTTATCTACGAAAAAAATAAAAATATGCATTTATATTATAAATAACCATTAATATTTTATACACAATTTTTTAAAAATACATTTTTTTGTACCTCAATTTAGAATTTAAATTTTTATTTTCTCCATTGATAATTTTTACAGCATTTTAATATATTGGTAATAAACACATTTCATAAGTTTCATCATTTTAAATGGGGCATTTTTCAAAATAATTTTTTTTGTTTTACTGGAAATACGACTATTTTAAAAATAATCTTTGCATTTTCTTAAAGAAAATTTTAGGGTTACAAAATGTTATATAATTTGTTACTTTAAACCCTTTGAGTATTTTAAGATTCGCCAAAAGAGGAAAAGGTCCGAACGAACTTTTGAAGGCCCGTAACTCGAGATATATTTGAGCTAGGACATTAAAATTTGAATTTATATAAAATATACAATCTATTTAACCTTCAAACTAAATTTCATCCATTTTTAAAATGGTCGTCGGAATCACTAAGTGATTTGTCATGGAATTACCCAAATATTTAATTTAAATAAATGTAAATGCCTTTGTTTGTAGAAACTGGAAGGAATTAGAAAAGAGGATATTGGTAGATCTATTTCAATTATAATAATTTTTATTCATAGGAAAGGTTAGCAGTAGTGTTGTTAAACAGTTTTTCAAATTTGGAGATTCTGCCCAAATGGCAGAAAGTTTTGGATATCTATATGTGAAATTTTGAGACTGAAGTATTAATATTGGGTAAAATCTCGATTTAGCCGTTTTTAAAAATCGGCTCGAGTCGTTTAACAACACTAGATAGATAGCAAGCAGTATGTAAAAAGTGACCTTTTAACATACGAGCTAATATTTTGAATTAAAAATATTTGTTGATTATTATATAAAGAAGGGCACGCTAAGATATATGGCCCCTGAAATTTTGGAAGGAGCTATTTCTTACTCTATTGAAACTTTCCTGAAAATCGACGTCTACGCTTTCGCTTTAGTGCTATGGGAACTAATGACTAGGTGTACAAATATAAGTAAATTTATAATACTTTTCGATTAAAATCACATCTAAAATATCATTTTTTATAATTATCGTAAAATTTGCAAAGAAATTATTCTCTAGTATTTTCTAAAATATAAATATTTTAATGCTAACAAACAATAGATGATGCCACTTTATCTAACTTGGATTACAAATTGCCCTACGAAGAAGAAATAGGATCTAATCCTACCCTAGAGGATATGCAAAACTTGGTGTGTAATCGGAATGTAAGGCCAAAGATTGCGGAATCATGGAAACTTGATCCCGTTAGTATTCGATATAAACATTTTTATTTTTGAAAAAAGTTTTTTAAAAAAATCTTGCACCCCCCCCCCCCCAAATAAATGATAAGGGCTCATTGCGATTATACCTTGAATATTCGTATTTACATTTAACATATAATTTATGTTATAATAAATAAATTTGCTAACAGTTAGCCTCCCAGTTAGTCTCCACTTTGAAAGATTGCTGGGAAAAGGATCCCGAGGCTAGGATATCATCGATAACCCTACACGAAAGAATAAAAGCGATCGCACGATTATCATGAAAAAATAGATATTTTTCTTCGTTTAAACTTTTTTATCTTATTTTGTAAAGCGATCAAAATTTCATCATAAAATATTATCAACCTAAAAAAAAACAACTAATAATATTATTATAAATCGAGGAATAAAAAAATATTTTGTTTTCCTTTTCATTTTTTTTACACATAATTCAATTCAGGGAAATCTATATTTTACATGTAATTTAATATATTCTTTTTATAAATTGTATATAATATAAGTTTATTAATTAATGATTTAATCATGACAATGTAATATACCATATTCAATCTTAGGAAATATTTTTTTTATATATAAATATATATATTAAAATGCAAAAGAATTTTTAAGTTAATTTTTTTTATATAAATTCAATTAAAATGTCAACATATTTTATTATTATATGCTGGAATTATTATTTTTTATTTCTAGTATTAGATACTTACAATTATTTTTTGGGGGAATCATTGGTAAATTCCTTTATTTTAAATCAAACATACTACCTTCCAAAATTATACTTTGTTTTTTTAGAATTACGTCTACACGATAGAAATCAATATAATTAATTATTTATATTTAAAATAATTTCTAATAAAAAGATTTTATTCTTACAATTTCATATTAGTTGATTGTATGCGGATAAGCTAAGGAAATACCTGAATCAACACTAGTGATTTATCATTAAAAACAAATTAAAATCATTCGATTTTTATAATTAATTTTACATAACGAATAATCTAATAAATAATTTATCTTGTTTAAAAAAAACAGATTTCTTACTATCAGTTATTGTGAGAAATTTCTTTATTTATAAATTTGAAACGATTGGTTGTTTTAGATGGTAATAGGTCAATATTTTTTTTAAAATATTTTATTAACAGGAATTGTATAATTAAAAGATAAAATAAATATTTTTTTTACATAAAAAAAATTTCTTTACCCAGAATTGTTAAAAGTATTACTTTAAATACACAATAATGATGCATGGCGGGGATGAATTTATGATACAATGATTATAAGAAATATATATTCTTAATGTTTGTTGATAACTTTGGATATGAGCGGAAAGGATCTTAAAATTTTTCGTAGATCTTGATTTTCTTGATTTAGTAATTTGATCTTTTGGCATAACGAAAAGTAATTATCACTGTGTTCATCTTTCCTCTCTAAAATAGAATCATCTTGGGTGCTTTTTTCTTTAGAATAGGTGGTAGTGTCTAAAGCTATTGCTTTACACATGATTCTAGCCATTTCTTCAACTTTCAAAGCTAGAGTGTCAACTTTCTAACAAAATAATTAAAAAAAAAATAAATCTAATAAATATGCGGGGAATTATAAATTATCTTTTTCTTAAATTGATATTTAAATTCTGAAACCCTTTAAGGGTCATCTCACGTAAGATCAAACACCCCATAGCGGGTTACTATTTTTTAGTTATCAAAAACGAAATTTTAGCTCATTAGCAATTATATTATATTACACGAGATAATGGGATAGGTATAAAAATAAGCATTTTTTTTAAATACTTTTCTTATGTAAATAATTTGTTTTTAATTAAAAAGAGTTAGAAAACCACGCTAATTATTAGATATTTGTAATCCTATCAGTATAATTTGGTTTTGAATTTAACTATTTTTATACAGAAAATGAATTTCAGTATGTATGAGCCCAAATTTTTTACCCGCCCAAAATATTTACTTTTAGGCTTGAGTCTGGCACTATTTTAAAAAAATTTTCTAGGGCCAGACTAGCCAGATATACTTTTATTTTGTCAGGCTGGCCGATCTGCAGGGCTCCTAATGTGCAGACCATAAAAATATAAACCTAATAATTGTATTATACGTATTTGATTTGAATAGACATATCTACTATTAAAGACCACATGATGTGACATCATAACAATATCCTAGATGCAAGATACAAATCAAAATATAATCTAACCAAACTTGGGTTTGCCAGACATTTTCTTAAGACTTTTTATGAGTATTATTAGCTTGCTCCTACTATAAAATCAGAGGCGTTGATAGCTTTTTAAAAAAATGGGGGGGGGGAGCTTTAATTGCCCTATTTGGAGGAGCTTCAGCCCACTTCTGTTCCCCCTTGGCCATGTCTAGATTTCTAAAATTAATTATAATATACAGGTATTTATTAATGAAAATAATATCTAACACCAATAGAATCCAATTACCAATAAAATGTCCTTAAATAACCTCAACATATATTTTAGATCTCTTTAACAAAAAAAATTCAATATTTTTGCTGAGTTCGTCCTTTGATTGCATTTATTTTTCAAGATTATAATGGGACTAATACAAGAACCTGAAATAGCATTTGTTTGTATACTAATAAATATTGAAAAAAATGAATGTATAATAAATTTAAACTACGTTAGCATATTCTATGTATTATTTCTAGGGCTGTGCCGATATTAAATATCGGATCGGTACCAATATTTACCGTTTTCTGAGAATATCGGATCGGGCCGATACCTGTAAAAACCGATCCGATCTTTTTACTTTTCTTTTTTTTTGTTATTTTATGTTATGTATATCTATTTAACATTATAATATTTTCTAAATAATTTTTTTAAATTTTATTTCTTTTTTAAAATAGATTTTATAGTATTTTAAAAGTTTTTGTTATAAAAATAGAAAGGAACACCCAAAGTTTTATTCATTTTAAATCTTTTTAAATAACGTCAATTTTTTTATTTATACTGATTTTTTTCAATATGGTAACTGAATTATGGAAATATTTTACAAAAGACAAAGATAATTCTGCAAAATAGGTTATCTGCGGAATCATCTGAGTCTGCCTTCAGTACGGCAGGAGATATAGATAGTCTATATCGTAGAAGCTTATTCCCAGAAAATCTGGATTTTATAATTCATACAACATAAAATGGATATATTATTAAATATATATTTTTTTATTATAGTCTTAATTGTAGAAATAAAAAAAATTAAATTAAATTCATAATTCGATTATTTGCATAAAAAAATATTGATTTCTTAGTTACATTTGGTTCAAATGGAGGTGATTAAAAATTAGAAATATCGGATCGGTATCGGATAGGGTTTGAAGCAATATCGGAAAATATCAGATCGGATCGGTGAAAAATATATGGATCGGTACAGCCCTATATTTCATATGTGTAAAAATAAATAACTTTAAATTATAATATTATATTATTTTGATTTTTCACTATTTTGTTTTTTTTACTAAAGGTAAAAGGAAAGAAGCTGTAATAACAAAATGATGTAAGGAAAAAAATATTTATCTAAAAATAAGGTATAAAAATTTGTAGATTTAAATGGGTGTTAATAAAAATTGGGTGCAAATTTAAAAAAAATAGTGCTAATTAGTGAAGGTCATGGTCTAGTCTTTATAATTATTTTGTTATTTTATATATATTTTCCTTTTACTTATTTAATTGTTGTTTTATCATTTTATAAATATAAAAGTAAAATTTTGACAAACTTATTATATTCATAATATATTACAAAATAAAAATGAACTAAAAAATGCATAAAAATGGGTTAACTCATCTTGAAAGGTAATACAAAATAACATAAAAACAAAAATAAAGAATTGAAGAGTAGGGGAAATTTAAATATTAATAAAAGACCAGTCCACACTGAAAAAAAATCAAAAACCAGTCTGGACTGTGGTCAGAAACCAATAGGACAGGTGATTTTCACTAATACTAATCATTTTTTAAAATTGATGTTTTTTTTTAAAAATGGGGTGCTTTAGCACCCAAAGAACCTAGCTAATGACACAACCTGTATAAATTGTTTATTATCCTCAAAAGCCCAATAAAATTAAATTTAGATCAGACCTAGATTGGAGCTGAAGAAAATAGGTTCAGTGCAGGCTTCTAGCACTGCCTGTTTGCTATTTTTAACCTTGTACATAATAGTTCTTACAGAAAAATTATTTTTAAGGTTTAAAATTATTAAAAATAATTACAGGCAAAATTAAATGGTTTAATAATATTGAGAAATCTATAACTTTATCTATTGATGCATATATAATATAATTGTGATGAAATGCTTAGTCATTATATTTAGATTAAAAATTTTATAAAAAGTATTAAGGCCATGTCCTAGTTTGACTTAAGTCTATGTAGCTTCCACTAAACAGCCTAAAAAGTAAGAGATAATTTTTTTTAAGTGTGCCTCTCATTTAATCTTCTAAATAAAGATTGGGGATATTAATAAATAAATATGATAAAAAAAATAAAGCTACCTAACACTTAAAAAAACTTAGTGTCATAGTTCAAAAGCTGTTTAGCCAAGTATCAAAAATGAGTTAAACCTGGACCAGAGACCTTCATGGACCAAGCTGGCCCATAGGACAGGCTAGGTTTGGGCCTAATAATATGTTCTCTATTGGGTCTGGGCCAGGCCTATTTGAATTTTTTTTTAAATAAGCTTGGGCCGAAAATTATTAAATTTAAATTTGGCTTATTTAAAATAGTTGCTAACTTAAAAAGGTATTGCCATTTTTTCAACAATAAATTTTAGCATTGAAACAAAATAATTGCCTAAATACATTTAAATATTGTTTACTTTTATTAAATACAATAAATTAAATTTTTGAATCTGAGCTTGGGAATATTTTAAAATATTTGGGATGGGCCAAGCCTGGGTAAAAAATTTTTCTTCTGCAGGCCTGAACCAGACTGATCAAAAAATTGCCCATGAAGGTCTTTGACCAGGACACAGCCAAATGCTAGGCAAAATTTACATTATCTAATAAAATTTTCTTAATATAAAAGATATAATTAAGTAAAAAAATTTTAATTAAAAAAATATATCTTATTTTGAAAAGATGTGGTAGTAGCTACAAATTTTATTTTATTAGGGATAATTGGTTTGCATTTGCATCTAGGCCTGGCAATCATTGTTTGATTACTGGATTTACCAAATTTAATAAAAAATGTACTTTGCAATGCTGAATGGGATCATAATTAACATGATTAATTTGATTTATTTCCATTAATTTTATCATCTGATTTCTATACTTTTTCATGATTAATTCCAACATTGCTTTGTGCTCTTCTACATTCTGAAAAAAATAAATATATAACACATCTAAGCTGTACTCCTTTGAGACTTAAATTTTCCTTTTTTAATTTTGTAATATATAAACTTTCTAAAATAATTCTTTTATGATAATTATTTGATTCTGGTGATAGATTAATTTTTGATAATTCTTTGAGATCTTTATTCTAATAATTTATGCATAAACAAATAAACATTATTATTTGCTAACAAAATCTTTCATGGTTTTAATTTTATTCTTGATTGTCATGGCTTTATTAATTAGCTGATCATAACCTTTATCTTGTTGAGACAATTGTTTAACTAAAAACTCGGATTCTGCTAACATGTGAGAAATATAGACCGAACAAAAATGTTAAAGAAAGTAAATAATAAATTAGAACTGTACTAATCATTGCTCGAATAAAAAATAAAATCTTGTTGATGTGTTTATTACATAATCTTGTTATGAAATGTCCTTCACTTAAAAATCTCTTATAATACTACTATCCCCACATTGCTTGTCAGATTTTGTCCCCTTTGTTCGTCATATATCTTTATTTTGTTTTACACGATTTGTAAATTATATAAAAAGATTGTTATTGTTGCAGTTTTGTTTTACAAAAAAATGCATTCAAATCGTAAACAAAAATAATGTTTTATTAAAATATCCCCGTCTATGTAAATGAGAAAAAATCGCGTGATATTTGTAGATTTTTTCATACTTTAACAGTTTTAAAAAGTGGGATGTAGAACTTTTTATTCTTCGCTAGGGAGACTATGTAAATGTTGATTAAAGAAAAAGAATATATAATGGAGAAATTATGATGCGAAAGGGGATTATATTTTTTTAACTAAAATTTACTTTTTCTTTTTTATATTACTTTTTCTTTTTTTATATTAATTTTAAATTTCTTTTATTTTGATTATGTTTTTCACTTTGTATTTAATTATATTTATTAATTTTTGATAAAGGATTCAACTATAATTTTAGTATTTATTTCTTTTTATATTTACGTATTAAGTTCACAAACAAAATCTTTCAATTGTGACAGTGGTGTTGGAGAGAGGAGGCGACAGGGCAATTACAACTTTCAGTCTAATGCAAATCAATATATACGGTGGGACAAGGAGATGTGTCAAACTGCATTCTAATATAAAAAAAAAATTCCAGAAGAACGTAAGAAAAATATGTAAATAAAAGTGAAAAGGAAAAATTATTTTGTTAAGATTATGTTGATATATAATATAAAATCTAAAATTAAAAACAAAGAATTATATAGGTAACATTCATAGTAGATATGATATAAAGAAGTTTGTGTTTAGTTATTTAAAGGTGATAATTAGGAATTTTCTATTTAGAAGTTACTGGTAAACTAAAATCATTTGAATTTTGAAACTAATAGAGACTATGATATTTTAGATTTTATAAGTATTATTAATTGATCACTAGAAATAACTATGACAAAGAAAAAGAAACATAAATTGCGAAGGTTAATATTAAACTAATAGTTTGCTAAGATATAATAATTTATTAGAATATAAATTTATTGTTAGGAAATAGTTGATGTTGTAATTAAATTCTTATTGAAGATTTACGTTTAACTTTTATTTTAAGGGCTGCGAGAGATAAAACAACCTCAAGGATTTGATATGTGAATTTAGTATAATATTGGGTTGAAGATTAACCAAAAATCTTCATAAAGAGAAACGGCTTTCCTCATTAGGAAATTTATGCCGCAATCGAGCTTAATTAGAGATCGGATTTTTATTTTTTTGAATCATAAATAAGATTTGAGATCAATTATGAAACATTATTCTAATAATAGCAGAAAGAAAAACATGCTTTAGAAATATATATCCTTGTTTTTCAACAACATGTGTTGAAAACTTTAATGATTAGATTGCATTTGTTGTTAAACAAAGTAGGTGTGAAAACCATGATGATAGAGTTCAGTGGTTGTTCAACAAACATATATATGAAAAATATAATGATTAGACTTCATTAGTTTTTCAACAACGTGTGTGCGAAAAGAGATTATATATTTCAGCAGTTTTTTATCAAAGGATATAAACAATATAGAGAAGAAAATAAATAAAAGACTTGAACGCCAAATAAAGTAGGAGGAAATAAAGTTGCAATTTTTTTTTAAAAAAAAGAAGATATATTTATATTTTGGAAAAATATTTAGAATTTTTTTAGATTCAAAATTATCAAGAGAAATTTAGATTTAAAGGACTACTAACGCAAATAACTCAATGAAGATATGGGTCTGAACTTCATTGAGGGTAAAGGGGTTGTAGAATTTTATATAAATATATAATTATTTAGCATATTTTGACTATATTATTATTTTAAGATCTAATTTAGAGGAAAAAGTGAGCAAATATTTTGAAGTTAAGAAATTGATTATGTAAGGAAGAATTAGATTAGAGGTGATAACCTTAAGAAGGAGTGAACATATGATATATTTTAGGTAGTTCAAATTTGAGAATAAATGTAAGAAAAAGGGATAAAATAGTTCAGAAGTTATAAAGGGTTAAATATATTTTAGGTAGAGGTATTAGATGCGATTACCCGAAACCTTAAGACATAGATTAATGAGAATAAAGATATCTTAAAACAAAGGCGATATCCTGGCAAGTGCAAACCGTCTTAAAAGACCCGAAAGTCTAAAGATATATACGGTTTAGATGCCAAGAACTAATCAATAATAAGAGGACGTTAAAAAACAAGCGACTAGATAGAATAAATGGTCAAGACGTTCGTGCTGCAATCGTTACTCACCAATATAGCCAAGTCTAAGATACGAAAGTCGGCGATCATAGAGACAGGAATTCGTGGAAACCATCGTTAATCGCAGACAAATTATCGTCAATCGTTTACCGTCATTAGTTACCAGAAAACGTTCGAAACAAGCAAAGACTATAATAATTTACCAAAGGGATTAAAACGAAATATAATTAAAAGAGACTAGAAGAATTCATCGTGAATCATAATAACGGGCGTGAATCGAGTTCGTCAATTGTCTATAGAGATCAAGAGATAATCGTTTACAAGGGGTTGACAAGAAACAGAAGGATTCAAGAATTTCAGATTGTAATCGGATACAAACAGTCCTTAGAAGTGAAGAATATTAGACAATAGACAGCCGTCGTAAGAAAGTAGAAGACATTAAAGATTAAGACGAATAGATTTAGTGGAGATACAAGATCTGTAAAGTCGAAATCGAAAGAAGTTGGTCATTCGCTGATTGGTGGGTCTAACTTAAGTGGAAGGGTGTTGCAGTTTTGCTTTACAAAAAAAATGCATTATGCAAATCGTAAACAAAAATAAGGTTTTATTAAAATATCCCCGTCTATGTAAATGAGAAAAAAACGCGTGATATTTGTAGATTTTTTCATACTTTAACAGTTTTAACGTGGGATGTAGAACTTTTTATTCTTCGCTAGGGAGACTATGTAAATGTTGATTAAAGAAAAAGAATATATAATGGAGAAATTATGATTCGAAAAGGGATTATATTTTTTTAACTAAAATTTACTTTTACTTTTTTTATATTAATTTTAAATTATTTTGATTATGTTTTTCACTTTGTATTTAATTATATTTATTATTATTTAATGAAGGATTCAACTATAATTTTAGTATATATTTCTTTTTATATTTAGGTATTAAGTTCACAAACAAAATCTTTCAATTGTGACAGTTATTATATTTATTTTTTTCACTTAAAATTGTTTTATTATTTTAGATTTGTAAATTATAAACAAAGATTGTTTTTATATTTTATTTACTTGAAACTGGTCCTAGCCAGTTTTAAGGATTGCCAATACGCAGAGTTGGGCAGGTCCTCCGGAAAAAGAATCTAGATACAGATACAGATTCTTCATAAAAAATGAATCTTAGATACAGATGCTAGTATCTTTTTCAAAATATCAAAATGATACAAGATAAAAGATACTTATATCTTTTACTAAATTAGAGTATCTTAAATACAAGATACTTTTAAATTATCATTACCTATTAAATTAGAATAGTTTATAAATATAAAATACAGTTTTTATTATTTATTTGTGAAGAACATAGCATACACATAACATATAAGAATGAATATTTGCAATAATTAATAAAATATTTATTGATGAATTAATCATAATAACCAGGAATTTTAATATTAATTTTTGCCCATTAAGAGCTTAAATAGGGAAGGGAGAGTAGTATATTTGATGGGAGTTGAAAATCTGCAAATAAGAAAAAAAATTAAATCAAATGATAATTAGAATTTTCAGGTTATTTTCTGTGTTGTTCTAAATATAGATTATATACGAAGTATATGGCTAAATGGCATCTCTAAAAAAGTTTTATTTTATTCATTATCTTTAATAAGTATTTATCATTACTTGTTTGTGATATTTATGTATTTTTTAAATTAGTTTTATTTTCTAATATGACTTATTAATTCTTGCATTTGTAATATGATATATATATCTAAATATCATTTAAATCTCTTTTCAATTTTTTTTTATATATTTCTTGAAAAATCATTAATTATATATAAAAAATATGAAAATAATATACAACATTTTCTTTAATGCATTATAAATTGATTAAATTTTGTAAGTAAATACTGTAATGTAATTTTATTTATTTCATAAATAAATAAAAGTAAAATGTAACTAATAAAGTTTAATTTCTACCTTATTATAATTATTTTATTAAGAGCCTTTTAAAATTATCTAATATTATATATCAATTGTAGCTTAAATATTTCCTCTAATAAGAACTTGCTAAAATAATTAAATATAAAATATATTAGGAATGTGCCGATATTTTTTATAGGATCGGATCGGGCCGATATTTCACCCATTTATAAATATAGGATATCGGTCAATATTATAAAATTTAATCCGACATAAAAATGACTTCTTTAACAAAAATAAAATTTTAAAAATAGTTATATCTGAAATCATTTAATTTTATAAATAAAATCGAAATCCATTTTTATGTATATTTTTTTAATAATGATAATTAATTTATAAACATTCTAACATATTGTTATTTTTTTGCGCATTCTGTTTATAAAAGTGTGCAGGCACGTACGCAGCGGAGGGGGGAGGGGTCAGGGGGACAAATCCCTCCCCCCCCTCCAAAAGCCAAAAAATGCAGATGCCGGATTATATTTTTCAAAAATATTATTGTTAATATTAATTAACATTTGTTAATATTTATTCCTATCTCATATATATATTTAATTATATTTATTTATCACATTCATCTACTAAGTTATTTTATCAATTAAATTCGATTTCAAGTTTTCCTTGGCGTAATTTATCTATTATTTTCAAATTTTAGTGGCGTATTATTTATCTAAATTTCTAGTCAAATAATAATTATCTCTGAAACTCCTCGTCCAAGAGGGAGAATAAATTGCAAGCTTGTCCAACGAGGTCGAGTCTCCACCATTAACAGCTTTTATGGATTTAGAAGAGCCGATTATTAATGCTATTACTGAAATATCACAATGGCTTGAAAGAAATATTCCATCAGAAGCAAGAAAATTATTGGATTCAATACCTATTCCAAAGTTTTTTTCCCATTAGAATGTATTATTTAATTATACAACTATTTTATGTAATACTTTTCAAAAACATGACATTGACTTGATTAAGAAGATGAGACTAGCGGAGAGCATTTTATCAGAACTCAAGGAAATTAGAGCTAATGTTGATGAAGAATTTCATATTTATATGTTATTGTTGAGTCAAAAACAGAGCTATACATGTTTAATATGTGTCCCCCTCGACTTGCAGCAAGCAAGCTCATCGTCAAAACATTAATATAGGATAAGTAGAAGAGTATTAAAAAACTAATATCCCCTCTCTTAGATACATTTATAACCCAAATAAATGAATGGTTTTTAATTCGTCATGCAGCACTTACAAATCCGCAGATATTACTTTCACAAAAGCCTTTCCAACCTTTTTCAGATAGTGATAGAAAAAATGAATAAATATTTGTTAGATTTTTATCATGATGATGTTAAAGTATCTTATAATGCTTTATTAGCTGAATAACTATGATTAAAAGATTAACTATGGTTGATACAGTCCCAAAAAATGCTATGGATGCGTTGCATTGTTTCAAACACATTTTAGATTATATTCCCAATGTATTAAAATGGTTATATATATTAGCAACTCTTCCCATTAGTAAACTAATGAGAGAACATTCTCTTTTTTAGGAAGAATAACAGAGCCATGCAGAGGTGCCATTTGCAGGGCACTGTCCATATTTTTTTAGAATTTTTTTCGGCCAGTGTTTTTTTTTTAAAATTTTCAGGCCCCACCCGGCTTTTTTGAAAATAAAATTTTCAGGTCCCTTCTTATCTTATCTTATCTAGCACGCACGTTGGTCATAGACCAGCTCAAAATGAGTGATTTTATGAATGCCAACTATGCCGATTTTTTTTAAAGGATACCAACAAACCTTGTACCCAGTTGTAATTTAATAAAAATGTGTGGAACTTACCCTTTCCGATTTAGTAATAGTGAGATTTAGTAATGAGTATTATAAAAGAAAATATAATCTTATCTATTTTTGAATCCATAGAATAACCACATTAATAATATAAATTACGTCGTTGGATTTTTTTATAAACAAAATTTTTAATATATAAGAACAAAAAAATATAGAATCGAGATCATGAAGCTATTATGATTTATTTTATATATTGTTTTTTTTGTCGAATTGAATTGTACATAATTGTTTTTGGATTATGGCTAAAATTCAAGATTCAATAATAAATCCTCGATTTTACATAAAATCCAGTTTGTACGATGACCAAAATGCCCGCTAAGTCCAGTATTCTTTGACAATCCCTGACCATCGAACTCCTTCGATCCCTTTCCATCCCCGATGGGAGTTAAGAACATTGGCTGTTCAACCATCGGGTTGGAGGAGGGATCGACTGAGTTTGATAGTCCGGAATTGTCGGAGAGTATGACTGGGAACCTGACTTGGAGGATCGAGATTTATTGAATTTTAATTTTAGCCGTAATCCAAAAATTATATGTCTATGTATACAATTTAATTTGACAAAAAAACAATGTACTAAATAAAATCATAATTGCTACAATCTCGATTCTATATTTTTTTTGTTTTTATTTATTAAAAATTTTGTTTACAAAAAAAATCCATCAACGTAATTTTTATAAAGATTTTATACATATTGGCCATCCTTAAAACTGGCTAGGACCAGTTTCAAGTGAATAAATAAGCTTTGTTTAACAAGTCGGGTAAAAGAAAATAAAATAATAATACAGTTTTATAAGTAGAAAAAATAAATATAATAACAATCTTTCTTTTTATTTACGAATCGTGTAAAACAAAATAAAGATATATGATTGACATAGGGGACAAAATGTGACAAACAATATGGGGTCGTTTTGAAAGAAGTAGTATTATAAGAGATTTTTAAGTGAAGAACATTTCATAATAATAATATGCAACACTTATTAAAATATTATATTTTGTTAACATTATTAAATTATAATATAAAATAACCCTAGTGAATCAGCCAGGGTGGCCAGATGTCACAATTTAGCCGTGATTCTCACGATTTCATATCTAATTTTTTACTTACCCACGTTTTCTCACATTTCACGCTTTTCTCACTTTTCTTGAGTAAATTAAAATAATCACACTTAGTCTCACAATTTTCTCATGTTTTTAAATTTTTTCAAAATATTTTTAAATTTTTTTAAAATATTTTTAAAAACAAGTATAAAATTTTAAATTAATTTTTTTTAAAAATATTTTAAAAAATTGTATTTGTTAATAGTCAACTATCCAATCATATTCATTGATCAATTACTCACAACAGAAATTCAATTTTTAGAAAGTTTATCAAGTATAATTATAATATGAATTTAAATAACTTACATATCTTTTATAGATTTTATAAATCTTATATTAAAACTCGTAAAATTTTAAATGAAATAAATTAAGGGCAAATATTATAAAAAATCTAAAAAACAATCAACCGTATTCAATACTAACGGGTGCATAAAATAAAGGTAATATAAAAACATTTCCCTTATTACTTAGATACTTCAACAAAAAGAATGGAATAAATGTTTAATTACTTAAAAATTTTTCGTCTGACAGTGAAACCCCTAAAGACATATCTAGATGCTTGCCAGAAAATTTAAAATTCGCTGAACTTGGTATTGCTAATGTAACGGCCTATTGTACAGATAACGCATCTGTAAACTTTGGGAAAAATTAAAGTATTTGGACATAATTGAAAAACCATAGTAATAATAATATGCCAATGAGTTGTATATGCCACATTCTTCACGATTCGTTTAAAAAGGCCATAATTTTTTTTAAATATGATAATGAGAGTATAGTAATTAAATGCTATAATGAATTTAGCAACTCGTCAAAAAGAGTTACAATTTTAAAAGAATTGGTAGAATGGTGCAATTTAGAATGATCAGAATCACTTCGCCATGTTCCAACACGCTGGCTTACATTAATCCCAACGATTAAGCGGATGCTTAAGTATTTTCAACCCCTTAAAGAATATTTTTATCATTATCAGCAACCCCACCAATTTTGAAAATAATTTTTGGAGATGATTTTGCAGAGGCATATTTAGGTGTTATTCTTAACGTTGGCACTTTAGTCAATAACATAAATTTACAATTGCAATCTGAAGATGTGTTAGCACTATATATACATGATCTTATCTTAAAATTAAAGAATTCATTAAATTTAAAAATTCAATAAAATTTTTATGGGAGTATTTCTAAAAAATATTTTACAACATAATAATGATGTAGAAAAGGCAATAAATTTCAAAAATGAATCAAAGATATTTATAAAAAATATTATAGAATATGTAGAAAAACGTTCCGATATTATAGATAATATATGGAAATATCTAGCCCTATGACATTAAAATAATGTCCAGAATTTAAACAATTACAAAAAATCATTAGTAATTATAAAATACCAAACATAGATATAGAAATTCTCTTTGAGGAATAATCAAAATTTTATTCCTATTATGAAGAAAAATTATCAAAAATCTATCACATGAATACCCAAGAAAAATGAATGGATTTTCTTTCTAATAAAAACTCATTGATAGAGAAAATATGCAGTTTTCTATTTTCTATTCCGCATTCAAATGCTTCATCAGAGAGAATATTCAGTCTAATGACTATTGCTTGACGAAAAGAACGTCATCATTGGAAGCTGAACTTATGGTTAAACAAAATATAACTATTCATGTAAAGGGTTTTCAGCCTATTTCCACAGTGCCGATGGGAAATCTTTATTGCCTCTTTTAAAATCATCCATAAAATATTATAATTAATATTATGCTATATTTATAAACATGAGAAAATTATATATCATAATTGTTATTAATAAATCAATAAAGAATTTTCATTGTCTTTAAAATCTTGTTATATTAAATATACATATTAACTTAGATGAGTATGCTACATCAATTACCCCGGCCGAAGGCCCGCAAATTGGGGGATCTGGAGGGCAAAGTCTCCCATTAATTATTATAAAAAAAACTCACGTTTTCAAGTGAAGAATATCTGGCAACCTTCCAGCCCCAAACCTAAATTCTTGCCCGCGATAGGCCATATTTATTTTATAAGTAAAAATATTTTTGAATCACCCACAATTATTAAAATTTCAAAATCTGCGAAAGTAATGCTGATAACCGCAAACAAAATAAAATTATCATGAGTTCAGAATATAATATAATTTGAATATACCATTGACCAGATTAGTAATTATTATTAGACAAATAATTAGTGTATTTTAATTAAAAATATCTAGTTAATAAAAGATATTTTAAATATAAACTATTCTTGTTTTTTTAAGAGGAGTTAAAGAGTGTTTATATTTGCAATAAAGCAAATATTTGCTTTTCACATGTATATATATATGAAAAAATAATGATTAGTTTTATAATTTCCCATGCATTTGAAACTTCGCTATTCGTGTCTTTTTTTCGCAATTTCATGGATCTTAATATTATATTTTATTCTTAAAAATGAGGAACCTAAAAGAAGTTTTGAGGAAAACTATGCAGATCATTTTAATCAAATTATTAATCCAAATGCATTCTATGATAGCTATGCATTTTTTTCTCCCCCATCAAATCCAGAATACTGTAGTTTAACTAATTGTTTTAATTTTTCACGATGCAGAGATTTTACTATTTTTATTTATCCACAAACAATTAATATTTCGACTACCTTTGAATATTTATTGGATGCCCTTAGAAAATCAAAATATATTACTAATGACATATCTAAGGCCTGCTTATTAGTTCCTTCTTTTGACTCACTAGATAGAGATCCATTAAGCCCTCATTACAGCAAAATTGATAAGGATATTATTTTAAAAAATGCATATCAATGGAATAATGGAATAAATCATATTTTGTTCAATATGTACTCTGGAACTTATCCAAAATATTCTGAAAAATTGGATATAAATATTGAAAATGCTATGTTGATCAGTGCAAATTTGATAACTTACAAACATAGAAATAAATTTGACCTATCTCTTCCATTATTTAATAATAAATTTGTAGTCAATCATTTTAACAAAACCAAAATTCAAATTTATAATCCCAACAAAAAGTATTTATTATCTTTTAAAGGTAAGAGATATCTATATGGCTATGGATCTGAAACTAGAAATTCTCTACATTATTTACATGATGGTGAGGAAATTATTTTATTGACAACATGTAAACATGGAAATTGGGAAAAATATAAGGATGAAAGATGTGATAATGACAACACAGAATATGATAAGTATATTAATTTATTTAAACATCTTTATAGAAAATTTTTATTTAACAAAAATATTTTGTAGCATTTATATTAAGTTTAAGTTTTAAAATTTATTAATTAACATTGATATCCTTATCAAGCAGAAGGAGCTTATTTAGAAAATCTTTAAAAAAAAATCTAAAATTAGCAATTAATTCAGAATATTAGTTTGTATGTTAAAAAATCACATTTTTATCAACTGATACCTAGTGTTTTTAACTGGCTCTATTTAATTAACTTTAAAAAAGGGCTACATTAAGATTTTTATCAAAATATTATTACTTAAACCTCAAAATTTTGCCATGAAGTCCAAACCGTTCCCCATACATGGGCATAAATAAATAAGCCTATGTAATTTACTCTTGACCAAAATCTTTATTTAATTTAAAAATTGCCTTAACCTAGCAGAATATGACTTATTAGATATCTTAAAATTATTTTCTTGTTGCAGTTAATGTAACAAAAAATAGTGCACAATTTTTAACTATTTTTTTTAAACCTACAACAAATAAATTTTAATCACAATATTTCCATTAATATTCATTTATCTTTAAAACATGTAAACAAAATTTAAAAATAAAAAAAAGAATATATATATTAAAAGTGAATGTATATTTTAAAAATATCGATGGCTCTAAAAAGAGCTTATAGTAAAAATGTTCTTAAAAAACAGGTATAATTATGTTTAAAAATTTCTAATTGAAGTTTTTGTTTAAGAAAAATTGATTCACGTTTTTTGTTTGTAATGTTAAAAATTTTACTTGCTAAAATTTAAAAAAAAATAAAAAAAATATGATAATTGTGAGAAATTGCCATCTATGGGTTAAATAAAGTTATTTAGTATTGAGTATTTATTAATTTTTTTATTTTCCACATTAGTAAGAGGGTTTGAATTAATTGATGAGAGATGCAGGTTGCGTCCCAAATTAGGGATTTCCCATTGGACCATGGGGTGAGGTTTGTTGGTTCTAGGATGTTAGGTTTTAGCCTTATTAAGAGCGTTATGGATGATTTTATTTATAGTTTTATGCCAGAGGTGTTGGCTGCGGGAGCAGTTTAAGCCGTGTTTTGCGTTTGGTTGAACGGGTAGGTTGCAAAGGTGGCAAGTGTGAATGTGTAAGCGAGCATCCAAGTCTAAATCCTATGGTAACTCTCAGTTGGTCATTGGTTAAGATTATCAAGGGTTAGGCTTAGAAGTGCTTCGATGCAATTGTATTTAATTCTGATCATTAATTTATTATTATGAAATTATTCAAAAAAATATTATATAATCATGATAAATAAATTATTTAGTCAATATTTTTTTATTTTTTTTTCCCCATAAATTTTAAAGTATTGACACTTAAATATGCTTGAATACTATCTGTCAATATGTTTTGTTCACCCTTAATAGAATTCTTTTTTTGTATTAGTCAGATGCAAATTGGTGAGAAGCTCAGCCCAATTCTTGTCAAAATAGTTTTAAATTTTTTTGGGGCCTCACACTTGAAATAAGAAACCAAAATTTTGGGATAGGCTCATGCCTAAAAAATGAATAGGGTTCTAATCATTATTGCTATTAGCTAAAAACTTGCCAAGATGCATTTTCAATTCTTAGGAATGCAAAATTGTTAAAACCCTGCCTTCTTACTCAGGACTTCTTTAATATTATATAAAATTAATTCTTTTTTGGTTATTTTGGTACAATTTATAAAAAATTAAATATTTTAAATTTGAGTATATGACCAATTTATAAAATATATACACACTTGAATCAGGTTTATCCCAGTTTAGGATTTTATACAAATACAAGTAAGTTTAGTGTCCATTTTTAAAAAAATATTTGAAAAAATTTTTTTTTATTTTGTAACCATTTTCGTTTTTCTATATCCATGTTTAGGTGATAAGCAGATTTTCATATAGTAATGTTGTGTTGCACTGAAGAGCTATGATAGAACTTTATAATAAAATTTAAATAATATTTTTAATTAAAATATTTTTGAGATATATTTAAAATTAAATGTAGTTTATTTTGGAATTTTTGCTTTTTTAAGTGTGGCCAATGGACATATATCAGGAACTGAGCCAAGTTGAGAATTATAATCTTATATATCGTCATACAAATTTTTGAGTAAATTAAAGAGGTTTGGGTTGAGAATCAGGGTTTTTGATTGATTACATATGAAATGAATTTTGCATTTGTAGCATCCACCTGCACCGAAAAACCAAACCTCCTTAATCAATTTTTATTTAAATATTTTATTCAATAATTAAAATATAAAGCTCCTGATAAAAACTTAAATAATACGATTAGATTATAATTTCAATGAATCACACTAAAAATAAATAAATTCTAAAAACATTTAATTATTTTTATTTTATGTATCTAATAAATAATCATAATAATTTAAATAGCCTATAAAATACAGCAATTTAAAATAAAACGGGCTATTTATAGTTATTTATATTTTATTATATAAAATAATAAATATTATAAATGTGTCTTTAAATTAGAACTTGAAGATTTTGAAACTGATATTATACTTTTAGACATATTTTACATTTGGTAATGATAGAATTAGTTCCTTGGACATAGGATGTTACTGTCAGTATTATATTTGGGCCATAGTAAAGTTAATTCATCTGATTCTGAATTAGATAATTATGATGAAATAAGAACACAAATGCTTATGCTAATCTTTAAAATATAAATAATAATATTCTAATTAGAAATGTCAAATAAATTGATATATTTTAATATTCTTGCAAAAAACAAGGTGCTGATATTTTTAATTTAGAATATATTTTATAAAAATTTTTTAATTTTTGTATATTTAAATAAATTCGGGCCGGGCGGACAAATATTCGTTCAGGAACGGGCTGGGAAGGACAAATTTTTTAAAAAAATTTTCTAGCCAGGCCGGGCTTGAAAATTATTTTGTGATTAAAAATAACCCTTTTTTTTAAAAAAAATAGGATTTAACGTATTTTATTTTCAAATGAATAAAAATAAGATTTTTTAAAAAATTTAATGAACGTAAGGCACGAACGCGTTCACGTTCAAAGTTCGTCTAAAATATAAGGAACAAACCGTTCATCATTTTTTTTATTCAAAAAAAAATGAACTTCTCACCTAATTAATAATTTTGCATATATTATAAGTTCTTTCATATTTTGAAAAAATAATTCCTTTATCTCGTTACATTTACAAAGATATTAACGAAATGAGATTATTTTTTAAAAAATAATCTTTCTTGGTTAAAAATTAAAACTGAGAAATAATAAAGCCTCAGGTTTAGTACTCATTTGGTGCAAAACACTTAAAAACAGCAACCGATGACATAACTAAAATAAAGATGGTCTATATTATAGATTTTTTTCTACGGCAGTCATATTTAAATATCCTAAATGAACTATTTTATTAAAATTTATATATTTAAGTTAAGACAAAGGGCGCAAAAATATTTCATTCATTTTATGAAAAAGAGATATAGTAAAACAAAATGTGTATTAAATTTTTTAATCTAAAATATTATCAATTTATTTAAATATATTCGATAAACCATAGCATGCGCCTCCAACGGATAAAGTAATTCAAATACTTTAATTTTTCACAAAATTTATTTTAAAGGCTAATACCTTAAATTTAAAAAAAAGCATCCAAAACCCACCCTTAAATTAATTAAATTATACTGCAGTTCTCGGGCATAGGCTCTTGTTTTTGACCCGCTCTCTTTTTTTACAAAGCTTATGGGTGTCTGCAACCGGCTTACCCACAAACATATAGAGGGCTCCTCATATTTTACTTTGTACCCAAATTAAATTTTGTTCCAATTAGATGGAAATGTGGAAACCTAGTGTAGCCCTGTTGTATTTTCAACGCTAGAGGGCAATGCGCTATATATCACGTATCACGTAAATATATATTAATTTTTTTGAATTTCGTTTTTCGACATTATAATTTTAAAATTTTTTAATATAAATTTTTAGCTATTTTAAAATATTGTTGTTCTCAGCATTTTATATTTTAAAATTAATAATATATATTTAACTATTTTTTCTTTCTACCTAGAAAATTATGTAATAACTTTTTAACTTAAAATTTAAATTTTCCAAGAAACTAAAATTTTTCCTGCTTTTATCCGTTTCCTAAAAATTGTTTTTAAAATAAATAAATAAATAATATTATTGACTCTATGACTGCTGATATTTATTATATTATTATTTGTTCAGAAGAAAGTAATTTTTTTATGTGTTACTTGATTTATAGCGCTTATGCCGCCTATCGTTGAAGGTTCAACAGAGTCACGCTAGGTATTTCTCATTTCCATCATTAAATTAAATTGGATGAAAAATTAAAAATGAGGAGCCCTCTACACATTTGTGGGTAAGCCGCCTTACTTGTGCGCACAACAATTTGAACTGTTATTTAAACTTCCATAGGCTAAGAAGAAAAGAGTGGGCAAAACAAAAACCTATACCCAAGAACTTCAGCATAATTTAATTACTCTAAGGGGTGGCTTTTTAAGAATTCATTAGTGTAAAGTCTTCAATGATTAAGTATAGATATTGAGAGATTTAATGTTCATATCAATTTAATTTCAGTCTTGTTCAGATTTATTTCAAAACATTTCTATATTTCTTAATTTTGTAAATAAAATTATTTAACTTGTAAAAATTATAAGAATATATAATAACATTTTTTTTGCAAGTCAATAATTTTATTTTCAAATTAATTAAAAAATAATGTTTTCCATCAAATCTGGTCTACACTATATATTATTTAACTTCTGGTGTAATAAGATGTTCAATTTTAATATTCTAGTTCTATTAATATGGCAGAAAAAGTTCGGTAATAACTTTTTAATCTTGATATTCCATTATTTGCATTTATAAAATCCACTTCTAACTAAAAACCGAAACTCCATAATCGACAGGATTTATCAAATAATTTTTTTTAAAAAAAACGTCAATATCATTTATTTATACAAAATACTATTCTCAGAATAAAATAAATTGTTTTTTTAAAATAATTGTATTCTTTTGTTTGTTCATTAGAACTTCCTATTTGATAAATTTTTAGAAAAAACAGCTGATTATTCACGCCATAGCTCTGCATTCCCATAACACTTTTTCGCTTTTAGAATATTAAATAACTTGTTTCGAAGTTTACTATGGACAAATTTAAGAATGAAATTTTTCCCATTTTATCTTCTGAACGATTTCATTAGCAAGAATCATCATAAAAAATACAGTTATATTTTAAATCGAGCCTAATTCCATATTGATTCCTTTAGAGCCCCCCTCCCCTTCGAAAAATATTTTAAAATGTGCTCATCAAATTCTCCATATATTGACCTGACACACTCAAGTGTCGCCATCTTGGTAATAATATAAAATAATATTAAAAACTAATTATCGTTTTTTGTTGCTACCTCAATATTACTCATAAATACCTATTTATTTTAAACAGTTTTTATCAATTTTTTTTTAGTTAATAGGACTAACAGATTTTAAAGGGGCATTTGCCCTCTCTGTAACTCAAAAATTAAAAATCGTTATTTTTATTTAGTTAAATTTTTTTAAATTAAACAGATCAACCACATAATCTCTACAATTTATCGGAAAAACATTTATTAACATTTATTTAATTAATGTACCTTTAAAATGGGTAAATAAGTAGATTTAGTGAGCTGTATTTTTGCATTTAATAATTGTTCATTCTAAACAGTAAATAAGACACATATCTTATAGGCACTACTCCCCTTTAGCCCTTACAAGTCGACCCTTAGATCCGGCTCAGGCCTAACGATATATGTATTTTTTTAAATCGAGCCGGATTCGAGCTTTAAAAATATTTTTTTAAAAATAATGAAATGGCAAATTAGGTTTTTTTCTCTTTTAAATTTGAATTTCATTTAGGATTAAGCAATTTAATAATTTTTTTAAAAAGTTTTAGTTTAGAAAAAATACGCTTAATTTATACAAATTCGAATCGGCCCATAAGAATATAAAATAATTGAATTAACAGGGAGTTATCCCTCTACTCTAGTCGCCCACATCAAATTTGTACTATATTTCATTTTTAAGTAAAATCATGGACGAGTATTATGTGTAATAAATAGACGATTCCCAAGCTACTCACTTTTAGAATATCGCATGGTTCGGGTCGATTCGATCTAAATTAATAATTTTTCTTACTCGGGTCTTAAAAATGAATATAAATTTTGGTTCAGATTGTTCCTAATCTTTAGACGAAGTGCGGTTCATTTAGTCATAGTGTTTTAAATTAGAAACAAAATATCCAAAACTAGGAGTTTGGAACACGAAAAGCGGGAAAACGTTATTGAACATTTTAGCGATCCAAGAAATAAATTTCGCCGGAAAAAGTATTCTTAGGCCACTTCTCAGCTTGATTGTATTTGTTCTTCATTTCTAAATTCTATTCAAAGTAGCAGCCTAGCACCATTTTTTGAGTTTTTTTTTAAAAAAAAATAAATTTTGTCATAAGGATAATATCTAAAAAATAATTATCTAGAACAAATATTCTGAATTCTTAAAATGAAAAAAGACGACTCAGAAGGACAATAAGAATTTACTTGACTATAAAGAAATTTTTGTCGAAAAATACAAATTTAATTGAAATAAGCGCGATCTGAGTTCATTTCCGGTATTTTAATATAAATATTGCATTTTAATTCCTCCTATAATCAGGCCCGTGAATCCAAATTAAGATTCAGGAAGCTCTATTTAGCGAAAATACAGACTTAATTAAAACTAATTTTTTGAAAGATGTATGAATCAGCTATGGTCCATGATTTCAAGTTGCTGGGTTGTCCATAAATGGGTCCCTGTATACCTAAAACGAATTATTTGTTATTCGATATTTGATTCGATACGTATTTTACGAATACGAATAACACAATTATTCGATTCGAAAATTCGAATCGAATTCGAATAAGAAAAATATATTATTCGTTGAATAATTTTTTGATCGAATTATTCGAGATTATTCGACTAAAATAATTTATAGTATTAATATATAATGGAAAATAATCATATATAAATCATATATTATTATTAGGAATTATTTGAAATTATTTCAATTTAATAAAATCTCCTAGTGGAATAATGAAAATTGCGCCAAATTTTGAAACTCCATTTTAATTTATCTCATAATACACCATTACTTTAGAAATTTCTTTTATGATAGAGATGGACGAAGAAGGTAATTTATATAACACATAACATATACAATTATAATAAACTGTTAATCCCATCACATCAAGAATGACGGGCAAACCTGATATTTCTCTTTCATTTGATGATGGAGAAATCATAAATTTGACTTTTTGCCTAAAGTTTTTACCATTTTATTTGTAAAATATTGCTAATGCCGTGTTATCTAAAATGGCGAAGGACATATTGTCGATACAGGGATCTTCAACCCCATGTGAGCGACTCTTTTCTGTTGGAGCTCATATGGTTACAAAATACAGAATGTCGTTAAAGGAGGAAACAATCCGAAAAACTTTATGTTTGAAAAATTGGCTGTTGTCTGATTTATCTTCTACATTATAGATATGAATATTATATTGATTTTTCCACATTGTATATAAATATATTATACATGTATGCTTCTATTTTGTCTTACTAATAAAATTTGTTTGTCTTTATCCTTAGTTAAATTTTACAAAATAAATTTTATAATAGATCTTTTTTGATTCATGGTAAATAAAATTTTCGAATCGAATCGAATAATCATTTTATTATTCATACGAATACGAATAATGTAATTATTCGATTCGATTCGTATTTTGTAGGTATAGGTCCCTGTTTGGTCTGTGTTATAAAAATATTCAGTCAAACATTTTAAATGTGTAAACCTCAAGTTGGGTTTAGAATGCCTGTTATATACCTTTCTGAGTTAGAAATTTCAGATATAACATTTCTATTCAATTTCTAAAAAGAAGACAATTATTTTATTTTTTTTTAAAAATATTGTTTATTATTATTTTTTGCTACCACATAGATATGATTACGACTCGCTACTTACGAACAGCATTTTTTGCCTCGTTCCTCGAGGGAGAAGACTGGCCAGCTACCGTTTTTTAGAAGTTCTAAGGTTCGGTTGTATACCCGTTATCCTCAGTAATGGGTGGCTCTTACCCTTTTCAGAGGTCATCGATTGGTCCGAAGCCTCTATCGTCTACGACGAGGACAATCTTTACATGGTGAGCCACTTCTTTAAATCAAAATATAAATATTTTAAATTTAAAAACTAAACTATAATTTTTGAATAATTAATAGGAAATTTTTATTAAAATGATAAAATAAGGGAAAAAATAATCATACTTGACACACGACAAGACACTCTATAAGCATTTAACCCCCCCCCCCCCAACAAAACTGATTAAAACTTCATAATTCTTATTTTTTGTCGCCATTTTTCTGTATGGAATGGTCAAATTAAAATCATCATTCATTATTGAAGTGTTTAATATTTGTCGCATTTTTTTAAGCTCCAAACACATGTCAGATAAAACTAGCTTTAAACTATCATTCTACTATTCTTAAGGGGAGGGGACTGCAAACTGATGTATTTTTTTTATCATTTCATAAGTTTTCTTTCAAATTTCTAATCTTTTTCAATATATTTCACCCCCCCCCCCCCCTAGTTTGCTCACATTTTAAATATAAATTAATAAATTCTAGTAAAATGTATAATGACATCAATTTTATCATTTTATTCTCAAGACGAGCAGAATTCCCGCCAGGAATGGCGGGGAATTATAATATTTCCGTTAATCTGATGATGTATGAATCAGAAATCTTCCCTCTATTTGATGATCGATGATTCAGAAATTCTCATTTGTTTGATGATGGATAAATCAGAAATTTTCTCTTTATTAGATTTAATGATTGATAAATCAGGAAAATAAAGGTTAATTTCTGAATCATAGCTCTCGTCAAATATGACAGGGAATAGGAATTGCCTTAATTATCATGGGTGAATCCACATTTCCCCTTTATTTAAGATGGATAAATCAGCTTAAATCAAAAAAATAAAGGGGAAATTTTTGTTCTATCTATCATTGAATAAAGAAAAGATAAATTCCCTATCATTCATGAAGGGTGAAATGAAAAAATTCAAATATAAAATAACTAAGTGTTACATAATCGCGAACGATTCAAATATATCCAGCTTATATCTAGAAGAATATAGTGTAATTATGATATTTCAGTATGTTTAATTTGATTTTAGCTAAATTATTTCACCTCTTTATAAGGATTGGTTTAATCACCAAAAGTGGTATAATATTTATCACTTCAACTTATAATATTTACATTCAACCTTTGAATATTTTTATCTTGAGTTTTTATATTTACTCCAGACACAATTTTAATTTTTCAAAAATTTTCGATGGTAGAAAGAAAATTTCTTAGGTTATATAAATTTTTATATTGTTCTTTAATAAATTTCAAGTATCGAATTATTCCTCATCACCAAATAGAATGTATATATTCTTTTAGTTACAAAACAGAAATTCTGATTGTATGCGAAAAAATGTGTTCTTTCATATAACATCTCTGGACTGATTATAAAGGATCAAGCCACAAAAATTTCAAAGGCTGATTGTAAGTTTTATAAGTTGAAGGCATAAATATTTTACAACTTTTGGTATATAAACTAATGCCTATAAAGAAGTAAAATAATTTAGCTAAAATCAAATGATAATTATCTGAAATATCATATATTTCTCACATGAAGCTTTCAATTTCAAGTATCTCACTTCATCTCCATCAAACAATGAATACTTATATTCTTCTAGATATAAACCAGAAAATTCTGAATCGCATATGATTATGTGTTATGTTATCTAAGCATAAATTACAAATCAGGAGAAATGTATTATTCCCCGTCATTGTCGGATTACCTGCTCATTTAAATATAACTTTTTTTATATCTAAAAAATATTATAATATGACCACTCTATAAAAAGATGATAGATATTAGGGCTACCAGGTGCTTCAGTTTGACCAAACCAATTTTGTAAAAAATCTTTTAGAAACAAATTTTTGTGATATTTCTGAATCATTTTAAAATTAATCCTTTATATAGTCAAACAGAATTTTGATCAAATATTTCCCATGTTTCGCCTATAAAACCCAGGCGAGTACGCAGCGGGGGGTGACAGGGGACAACCCCCCCCCCCCCTTAAGCTAAAAAATGCAAATGCCGGATATATTTTTCAAAAATATTATTGTTTATATTAATTTTTTGTTAAATTTATTCCTATCTCATATTAAATATTTAATTACATTTATTTATCACATTCGTCTACTAAGTTATTTTATCAATTAATTCGATTTCAAGTTTTCCGGCGTGAAATTTACTTATTATTTTCAAATTTTTAGTGGCGTAATTTTTATCTACCCTTTTCAAATTTCTAGTCAAATAATAATTATTTCTGAAACTCCTTGTCCAACAGGGAGAAAGAAATTGCTAGCTTGTCCAACGAGATAGAGTCTTCGCCATCAAGCAGTAACAGCTTTTATGGAATTAGAAGAGCCGATTATTTGCTATTACTGAAATATCACAATGGCCTGAAAGAAATATTTCCTCAGAAGCAAGAAAATTATTGGATTCAATGCTTATTCCAAATTTTTTTCTCATTAGAATGTATTATTTAATTATACAACTATATGTAATACTTTTCAAAAACATGACATTGACTTGATTAAGAAGATGAGAATAGCGGAGAGAATTTTATTAGAACTCAAGGAAATTAGGGCTAATGTTGATGAAGAATTTCATATTTTATATGTTATTGTTGAATCAAAAGTAGAGCGTTAAAACATTAATATAGGATCAGTAGAAGAGTATTATAAAACAAATGTCCTTAAATATATTTATAACCGAAATAAACGAGTGGTTTTTAATTCATCATGCAGTACTTACCAATCTGCAGATATTACTTCCACAAAAAAAAATATTTGTTAGATTTTTATCATGAAGATGTTAAAGTATCTTATGATGTTTTATTAGCTGAATAACTATGTTTATTAACTATGGTTGATATAGTCCCCAAAAATTCTATAGTAATAATCTTAACAAAGCACGTTATTTTATAAAGGAGCGCCATCTATTTTTGAAAAAATATTTATTTTTTGATTTTTTAAATCGTAATAACTAAAAGCCTTATGGCTGTCCCAAGTTTAAATTTTTTTTATGAATAGATATAAGGTTAGAGAATAAAAAAATATTAAATTCAAAAAAATTTAGAAAGCGAAACACCTGGAGTTTTCATGTTTAAAATTTATAACGTAAATAAAAATCGCAACAATATTATTTCAAAAAAATCCTTTATAATAAAAGGCCTTTAATAGAGTTACAAAATGACATATAACTTATATTTTTAAAATCATTATTTTTTTTAACTTATATCCATTTTAAAAAATCGTATTTTTCGAAAAAAGGTCATTTTTGGCACTTTTGACCATCTCAGGAACTATGAGTACTAGGAGGCTAAAATTTTGGATTCGATGCTTTCAAATGATATTCTATCAGCATACAAAATTTTATCGAAATTATCGATTTGGTATGGAATTACCCATATACAACCCGGCCCAGATATTTTTATAAAAAAATTTTCAAGCCCCGCCCGGGTGTTTTTTTAAAAAAAATTTTGGGTCCGGCCCGTATATATTTAAAAAATTAAAATACGGTCCTTGCAGGTCTCTGAAAAACATACTAAGAAGTACTACTTCTGAAAGTAGATCGAAAGGTTTAGATCTTTTGAATATTCATAGGCATTTGACGATAAGCAAGGATGAGATAATTGAAAAATTAGCTCAATCCCAACTAAGATTGGTTTTTACATGTAAATATATAACATACAAAATACAATTATTCCTAAAAAACTTTTTGTATATTAATATATATTTCCAATATTTAAATTTTTTATGTATATAAATTTTCAAGGCTCAAAAAATTCTTCTATTTTAGGTCATTTAAGTGATTCATATAGTGGTTATATTCACTTTATATTTTATAATTCACATTTATTTTATAGTTTTTTTATACCGCCTGTTATATCCGTTTAATATTTTTTAATTCACATTAATTTAAAATTGTGTATTAGAAATAGTTATTAGTTCTAATAAATTTATGCTTTATATTTTTAAAAAACAATAATATTTCTTAAAAAATTTTATTATCCCCCCCCTGACCGAATTCCTGCGTACGCGCCTGATAAAACCAAATATTTTTGTAAATTTTTATATTTCTGAATCATTTTTATAAGTCACCAATAATTCCCAATCATTTGGTTAAAATATTTTTTAATTTTTATGATATTTTTAAATAAATTTTAATTCCAAATCATTTGTGTAAAAAATATGGTAATCCTATATGTGGTCTAACAGGATTTATGATCAATATCCCCGATGTTTCACCTCTAAAATCAAACCTTTTTGTAAATTATCATTTAAAATTAAATTTTTGTGATATTTCCAAATCATTTTTCTAGTTACCTATATTCCAAATCAATAAAAAATCTTATTAAAACAAATTTTTGTGTATTTCTAAATTAAAATTTTATAAGTTACTAATCCAAATCATTTATGTAAAAATAAATTAATATCATATGTGGTCAAACAGTGTTTATAATAAAATATAGCCCATGTTTCCCCTATAAAAATAAATTTTTTAAATAAATAATCTTTTAAAAGTAAATTTTTATGATATTTTCAAATCATTTTTAATCTATATTCCAAATATTTCTGTAAAAAATTTAATAAAAGCAATTTTTGTAATATTTTTAAATCAAAAAAGGTACCGATTATGTTTAAATATTTCTTAATGTATAATTTAATTATTATTGAACTTTATAATTATTTATGGAATGGAAAATAAATTGATAAAAAATTTACAATTTATAAGAAGTCTTGATGGCATAGTGGTGGGTACAGGTGCCACAAATGTTCAATATCATATTTTATTGCGGGTTCAATTCCACTTCATGGTTTATACTTTTTTACTAAACTGACAATTTTTCTGTGACATGGCTTTTATTCTATAAAGAATATTAATCTTTCATTTAAAAAAAATTAATGTTTTATTAAAATATTTTTAAAAACTTACTTAAATGGAATAAAATCCTATGAAATATATATTTTTAAATAGCAATTTTGAATTGAATAAATGTTTTTTTATGGTTCACCGGATTATAATTAGACAATTATTTAATGTAAAATAACCCCAATGTAATTATAATTTTTTTCTTTCTAAATTTGGAATCTTATGTCGACATCGCATTGTATCGTATATATAGTATCATATAAATATTCTTAACAAATATTATAATCACAAAAATAGTGTATTCAATTTTTTTTTAGGGAAAAGGATTGATGATTTTACCTTCGACTTCATACATAGGCAATTAAATTCAAGATAGTAATTTACTTCATTCATATATAAATAATGTGGCCTAATAACTTCGCTTTGCCTCTCATTTCTTTCATTAGTACGAATCTGAATTCGAATATGAATAAAGCACTATTCGATTCGAATTTGTTTTTGAATAGGCCTAGTTTTCAATATCGTTTTGATAATTTTTTTTAATTATAATATAATATAGGCTTTTTGATGCACTCGCTGTAATTTTTATCGGATCGGAAGCGATTAATGCTACTGTAATTTTTATTGAAAACCCCAAATTTCTGACATTTTGAAAGTTCAGGAATTTCATCGTAATAAAATATTTTAGAAAAACAATTGAATCAGAGGCTTCAAAGGTTTAGTGGCAAATGAGATTTTGATTTAAATAATTCCGCTAAGCAGTTAATACGGTTGTTGCCATAGATGTTAGAAAACTTAAAAAAATTTACCGGCCCGGTCCGGCCCGAAGTATTTAAATATAGAAATTAATTTTTATAATTACTCAAAATAAAAGACATATGTTAATGTTATATGTCGTTTAGTTTCAATAAATAAAATCAAATATTTTTATTTTACATAAAAAATACAATATAAAATTGAGAAATTTAGATATATTTTAAAAAAATTCCAAGGACCGACCCTACCCGGCTCGAATTTTTTTAAAAAATATTAGGCCCGGCCCGAACCCGATTATTTTAAATAGAATTAGGCCCGAGTTCGGGTACGGGGGGCCTAACTTTGCAGATCTCTAGTGTAGATTACATTCACTAGATTAATAATAATAAACGAAAACATATTAATGCCCATTTCCTGTCGGTTTAATTATAAAAATTTCACTCATGAGTCTCTTACTGGTTACCAACACAACTTAATTACATCTAGATATAGATGAATGGGACGAGACATTTCGATACACCAAAAAAATGTATCTGGAGAATGTAGACGATTTTTAGAATAAATCTATTTTTCATAAATGAAGTTATGGAATTTCTCTATTCCCCCAAAGACAAGATTCATTGATTTTAAAAAATCTACTTTAAAAACTATAATTTGTCAGCTGAGTATTATGGTGTTCTATATCCATTTTGTTTTAGTGTTTTATTTTTGATAAATAAATTCTTTAATACTATATTCTTATATATATCCTCAATAAAAATGTTAAATTAAAATATAATTGAGAATAATTTATATCTTCATGATTACATTGTGATCACTTATTAAAATATATGGAATACTATTTTTTTAAAAATGATTTCCTGAACAATTTAAAAAAAATGGATATAGAATATTATAATACTCAACCGACAAATAATTAAATCGATTTAATGTTTTAATTCAATTGATTCTTTTATATATTTTTTTTGCTAAAAAAAGGAGAAATGTCGATATTTTTTTTAAAAGTTTACAAATCATGAAAACAAAGAAAATTTCGCCTTAAATAAATGAATAATACTTTTTAATTTACATTTTAAAATTTTGTATATTCAGCATTTAAAAAAAACAAGTATTTTCATTCTTCATTGATACAAGATGCTTTATTTTATATTTTAAGAAAGTTTAGTTGTTTCCTTTAAATAAAAATTAGCTTACCCCCTTGCGATGAAATTACTTGCAAAATAAAAAAATATATTACCTTATTACAACTTATCTGTATTCAAGATTTTTGGTGACTAATTTACTATATACTAATTTGATTCTTCTACTCAGTGCTCGCTTGTAATGGGAGTAGTCTGAAACCGGTTAATACCGCCCCACAATCCTAAATTTTTTCAAAAAATAGTCACCCCGGGCTAGTTTTTTCAATCGACCCGGCTGATCTGCAAAATTCAGATTTTTTTTTTAAAAAATAGTCACCCCGGACCGATTTGATTCGCAAAATAACTAAGTTTCATTTCGGTGTTAACTATATCTAAATGCAGTTTTTTAGCTGATCTGCAAAACTCAGTTCTTTTTTTAAAAAAAAATATGTCTTGAACCGCCCACTGCTCACTAGGAAGTCTGCTATTTTATATTTTATTTTTAAAGCTCACAGATTTCCTTTATTCCATCACGGAGGACGAAATCATGAAAATGCGGAAGCAAGTTTACGTTATTTACAACAACTATTTCTCGTCCTTCCAAAAGATTGTCAATACGATCACTGAAGTAAACCCTTCTCCAGCGCGGATTGTCTTTTATTTAAACAATTTATTTTGTCAGACGCTTGTTATTTTTTTTGATAAATATATATCTAAAATAATGGGTATATCTCATTTATTTGGTTTCCATTGTATAGAAATGTAATCAGTTCCTATTGCATTATATCCTCTAAAGATATCCAGCCCATTTAATTTTTTTTAAAGTTTAAAATCAATGAATGCATGCTCCTCTTGAAAACTTATATGTTTGTTGTTTTCTAATTATAAAAATGGAATGATTTTTTTAAAAAATATAATTCTTTAGATTCTTAAAGATCGAATATCTCCCGCGCAGGCGCGCCCTCACGAAGTTTGGAACACGTATCCCGGAGCCTTGAACGTTGATTTTTCATTTTCCACCGAGATGAGAGATTTCCCATTTTATCAAAAATTAATCGAAGGTAAATAAAATTTCAAAAGATAAAAAATGTTATACTTAGGCCTTATATAGTTAGCGCTGAGTATTTTTCAAAAGCAAGCATATAATAGGTAAATATATAAACGAGGTCTTACTCTTTATGTTCAATTAATATGCCTTTATCACGTAATTTTATCTTGAAATTGTCGGGTCGCCTTATCAAACATTAATTTTTTAATCTAACTTCTGACTCAATTTCAATATGATGAACCGTTAGGTATACCGGCTCAGTTTGATTCCAGGTTTTAACAGACAAATTTGTATCAATTCGTCCGATATCAGAATTCCTCTTTATAAATTTCTGTTAATTCTAGTTCATTACCCCCCCCCCCCCCCTCCACTTCACTTATTAATCTAGCAAAAAGTATATTTTAAAAAACTTGCAATTTAGAAACAACAATTAAAAAAAATTGATTAAATATCTTTATTTTATTATTGAATATGAATAAAAATAATGTGCACAAATTGAGCGTTTGCCTTTTGCCGTACATTTTTAATAAAAAACGTAAAGAGTCCCTTGTTTAAATTTGAGACTACCCTTTCTTTTAATATCGTTAATTCAAAATAAAACTAAATTTAAAAAAAAACATAATTTTTTAAAAAATATTTCACTTTAATAGATAAGTATGTTATTTTTTTAAAACATTTTTATATAATACGAGCAGAAAGCCCGTCAAGAAAGACGTGGATTCATAATATTCACCTTAATTTGATGATAGATGAATCAGAAATTTCTTCATTATTTGATGATGGATGAATTATAAATTTCCCCATTATTTGGCGATGGATGAATCAGAAATTTCCCCATTATTTGATGATGGATGAATCAGAAATTTTTCTCTTTATTTGATGATGGATGAATTAGAAATATTTCTTTTTATTTGTTCATGGATGTTCCCGTTTGTTTGATGATGGATAAATCAGGAAAATAAAGGTAAATTTCGAATAGGAATTAAGTTTATTCACTAAAAGTGGTAAAATATTTATCACTTCAACTTTAACATTTACATTCAACCTTTGAATTTTTTTTAACTTGAATCTTTATATTCAGTCCAGACACAATTTTAATTTTTAAAAATTTTCGATGGCAGAAAAAATATTTTAACTATAATCAAATTTCTTAAGTTATACAAATTTTTATATTGTTCTTTAATAAATTTCAAGTATCTCATTTCCTCTTTATCAAATAATAATATATTTATTCTTCTAGTTACAAAATTTGATTGTTGTTATCTCTCATCTGGACTGATTATAAAGGATCAAGCCACAAAAATCTCAAAGGCTGATTGTAAGTGTTATAAGTTGAAGGCATATATATTTTACAACTTTTGGTATGCAAACTAATGCCTATAAAAAGTCAAATATTTTAGATAAAATCAAATGATAATTATCTGAAATATCATATATTTCTCACATGAAGCTTTCAATTTCAAGTATCTCATTTCATCTCCATCAAACAATGAATACTTATATTCTTCTAGATATAAACCAGAAAATTCTGAATCGCATATGATTATGTGTTATGTTATCTAAGCATAAATTACAAATCAGGAGAAATGTATTATTCCCCGTCATTGTCGGATTACCTGCTCATTTAAATATAACTTTTTTTATATCTAAAAAATATTATAATAATAGTGCGCACAAATTGAACATTGCAATGCAGCGTTTCAAAACGAATATAAAAAAACGTAAACGCAGCCATGTTTAAATTGATGCGTTAATTTATTTTTTCAATAATAAGCATTTAAATTTAAAACAAAAAATTACTACAAGACCTTTCTTACCTAGCAGGGAAAATATTTCTTATTCAATGGAATCAAAAATTCTTAGAGACGAATTAAAAAATTTCATAAATTATTAAATATTTATTATTGTATAAAATTTATTTATGAAAATATTTTATATTAAATTATGTTTACATATTTAATTTTTATAGACATTATGTTATTAAATGATATAAATAAATTGAATATTAAGAAAAATTTAATTGATATATCCATTAATCTCTAAAATGATATAAATTAATTGAATATTAAGAAAAATTTATTTGATATATCCCTTAATTTCTTGCATGTTAATTTGGACATGATTCTAGATGTAGCCCATTGAGCTATTTTAAAGCTTGGGGAATGAACCTCAAACTTATAATAATATTAATTGTATTCTCTTTGATACAATTAAAATTTTCATGAATTTAAGAATAATTTAATTATTTTATAGTGTAAAAACTATATCTAAATGAGATTTATCTGCTGCTTCTATAAATAGTTTTTCAATATCAACCATAGTAATTAAATGATATAACTAAATTAATTAAATATTAAGTAAAATTTATTTGATATATACCTTAATTTCTATTGCATGTTAATTTGGATACTATTCTAGATGTAGCCCATTGAGCTATTTTAAAGCTTGGGTAATGAACCTCAAACTTAAAATAATATTAATTATATTCTCTTACAACATGATACAATTGAATATTTCATAGAATTTAAGACATATAATTTATTTTATAGTGTGAAAACTATACCTAAATAAGATTTATCTGTTGCTTCTATAAATAGATTCTCAATATCAACCATAGTAATTAAATGATATAACTAAATTAATTGAATATTAAGAAAAATTATATTGATATATCTCTTAATTTCTATTAAATGTTAATTTGGACACTAATATAATTTGAATGTTAAGAAAAATTAAATTGAAATATGAAAATAATAGAGACAAATATAAATATATTAAAATTTTATTAAAAGAATCTAATGTCAATATAAAAATTAATATAAAATATATAATATATAATATAAAATATATAATATATAATATATTTTTATAATAAATAAATAATTTATATAATGCTATTAAATATGTCAATGCAGGTTCATTTGTAGGTGTTGGTAAGGTACCATTTGTCTTAAGATAGTGTAGAAATTTTAAAACCTCAGTTTTAAACAGCACTTGGTCTAGACTCTACAAGGCTATCCATAAAAAGTCTAAATAAAATATAAATAAATTATAGATAAAAATTAGCTTTACTGCATCCCAGATGACTCTTCTTCCAAAATTTAATAACCTATTAGCATTCAGTACTTTAGGTTTTTGTTGTTGTTGAGATTAACTTTTTGAGAATAAAAAACAAAATACACTTATAATTTTTTATGAATAGTAAAATATTTTATATTTATTCAAATATAGATGGTAAATAAAATCAATATAAATTTTGGATCAGTTATGTATAGGCTTTGTAGTATAACAGAACAAAATTTGAGGGTTGGCAAGCCCTACTCTTTATTTTCCAAGTAGTTATCAACTTACCTATAAAATAAATAACATGAATATTTAATTAAGTAGGATTTCCTATTTTCTCCTTATTCAGCTGATCCTTGAAGTTTGTCAATTCCAATGCTAATCTAATTATATTATATTTAAATTTCTTATATATTTATACCTGGAAACAATAACTGATAAATGTTCAATAACAATGAAACTTTTTTTATGGTAGTCCAGGATTTCTCCAAACCTATTGGTTATTTCATCGTTCCATATCCTATAAATATTATTATATCATTTAATAATAATTATTCTTACAATTTAGAAAAATTTTATCATTTCAAAATTAAAAAGTTTTGAAAAACGCAAGCAAGTTTGTGTTTTTAAAAATAATTTAGAATGAAAAATGGAAATGTTCTCAATTTGAACGAATGCATTTAAAATGCATTGTTCGCGTTTTGAAACGCTGCGTTGCAACGCTCAATTTGTGCGCACTATAAGACCACTCTATGAAAGGTTGATAGATATTAAGGCTGTGCTTAAGATTAACCAAACCATTTTTGTAAAAATTTTTGTGATATTTCTAAATCATTTTTAATCTATATTCCAAATCATTTGTGTAAAAATTCTTATAAAAGCTAATTTTTCTAACATTTCTAATTCAAAAAAGGTACCGATTAAATTTAAATATTTCAAGGCACAATATTAATTATAATTTAAATAATTTTAATAGATAAAAAAATACACAATTTATAAGAAGTCGTTATGGAGTAGTGGGTAAGCAGGTACCACTAATGTTAAAACATGGTAGTTGCGGGTTCGATTCCACTTCATAGCTTATTGCACTTTTTTACAAAACGTGACAATTTTTTCGTGTCACGACTTTTATTATATAAAGGATATTAATCTTTCATTTAAAAAAAAATTAATATGTTTTATTAAAGTATTTTAAAAAACCTTCTTCAAATGAAATAAAATCCTATAAAATATTTTTTTTAAATATCAATTTTGAATTGAATAAATGTTAAGTATTTATAATGTTTTGGTTCTCTACTTTTAGTATTTTCTTTTAACGGATCGGTTATGGGTACGGTACAGAAATTATAATGGTTCATTTCGGTTTGATTCGTCACCCTACTTAATATCGATCATTGAGAAGAACAATATAGATGAAAAAAACAAACTGATCTTTATTTTAAAAAATAATTTTTTTAAAATTGTTTTTATTAATCAAGTAACAAATTATATTTTACAATACTTCATAGGTCAAAGTTTTCTTGATAACTCAATATAACGCGTTATACTTTTTATTTTGTCACATGATATCCTTTTTTCATTTAAATCTATATCAAAAATGGTGTATATTTTAAAATACTATTATTATTTTATTAGATTTTGAATTTCGTAACACCTACGTCGTTTCGATTTTGGTATCTTCCCATCAACCAAATTTTAGTTCGGGTTCAAACTTGAATCGCATTTTTTTGCAATGCACGGATTCGAAGCTTGTCTCTCAAGTATAAACTAAAAATATTAGAGAGGATGCCGATTCGATATTAACGGATCTAATTATTTTAAATAATAACATCATGATGCAAAATAAAATATTATTTGGGATTAGAATAAATCAAAAATATACGTAAAATTTATATTTAACTAGTTATTCCATAATTTTTTTTTATATAATTAATAATTAAGATTGTATCAAATAAATAAAAAACTCATACTACATGAAACATGTGTCCTATAAAATAGTCCATTCATTCTGAAAATTATTTTAAGCATCATATACATCAATTATAAAATAATATTACCCCCCCCCCCCACCACCCCCCCCCCTCCCTCCCCCAAGATTTTTCTCAAAATGGTAAAAGAAAATAACGCATGCTTTATAAAGTTATCTATTAAGCTGTGTTTATTTTTTTACCGTTTAAAAGACGTCTTAACTGGAAGTCTACTAACGCACATATGATTTTTTATTATGAGTAGTAATTGGATAAAATTACAGGCCAGGGCCTAAGGAATCTTCTTAAGCAGTGAGATGTGAATTAATTTATTTTTGCCTCCTTCGAATTTGATATAAATTTTCGAGAAAAAAATCTTAGGCTAAAGTGGCAAGCTTAAGCTAAAGCTAAAAACTATTAACCATTTAAAACTCGGCTAAATAAATAGAGAAATTACCCAACTATAACTAACATCCAGACCTTGGCCAATGTGGTGCTTATACCCAAATATAAATGATTTTTCATTATGGGGTCTATTTAATGACATTTGTGGGGTTAAGCCAAATAAATTGGATTCAACCTCAAGGTTAAACAAAAAATCGACTTAAAACTCGACTAAGTAGTTTTAAAACTTAGATGTTTAAGCCGAGTTCCCTATTTTCCAGCACTAATTTTTGATTATTTAGGCGAAATATTGCAAAACAATTCTAGAGAAATTTCAGATTTCGAAACATTGCTAAAATTACGGTTGGAAACCTAAAATATTTGTAAAACATGCCCTCTCCCTGTAATTAAATATGTTTTAACCCTTTAGGTTCCCTCATAAAATTAATATGTTGCAACACGATATTTAGTAATTTTTTTATTGATTCTAGTATAATATAATATAAAACACACAAAAAAAGTTTTTTAAATTCAAAATGGCGGCTCTCCCTGGTGGTTTCAAATTCATATCATTGACACCTTATGGAAACTTTCGAAACAGTTTCTATTTTTATTTAGACATAGTGGTACGTTGCATGATTTGCACGACCACCTTGTTCTTCTGGGATTTAACTTTGTACTACAGAAGGTACACCTTCGTGAGGTTCCTGCCTGAGGTTGATGAGCTGAGTTTTTTAGTCTAATTTCTGGAAGGATATAAGCTTTATTATTTTTTCTTTGCATTGATATATAAATATTATCATTATGAATATTATCATCCCTATTAACATTTTTACAGTATGCCAATTCGCTAGCAATTATTTGTCTTCGGAATTCTTTCGATGAGAGTTTATTATCTGTAAGAATATTGTATATTATGAATGAATTGATAATCGCCGCATCTATCAGCCAAAAAAATATTTATAGTCACCATTTTCGCCACTTTCGCGAAATTTCATATAAAGACTTGAAATGGTCAACAGACCCCATATATTTATTATACATCTTTATCATTATTGGACATTTTACGTCAAATACTTCCCCTTTTTTATTTTTTCTCTTCACAGTATCCACTGATCTCGGATCAATATAATTGGGCATTATAAATACGTCACGATTATCTCGCCATTTAATTATACTTATATTATTTTTGTCACTTCTCCAGTCAAACTCACCTCTTTTTAATTTTGTTTCCATATTCTTTATGGGCAAGTATCTCCTATTTTTGTTTAGTGTTCCGGTAGCATATATACCTTTCTTTTTTAAATCGATCAATTTCAATTTGATAAGGTGTATCCGATTCATAATCATCACTATCAATTTGGTAACGTGTATCCGATTCATAATCATCTTCGGAATCAGTGGATGAGTTGTCTAACGAAGAACCTTCAGATGGAATGTCCAGATAATCATCCATATATATAACAAGCTAAAATTATTGCGAAATGAGTTGGCAAAATTTATCAATTATTTAAAAAAATAAATATTAAAAATATTGTTGTTAAGTGGCAGTGGTTAGTTTAATATACCACATTAAAGAGATCAAAATAATATATAAATATTATTTATTTGAGCAAAAATAAATATTAGAAAGATAGATAAAATAGTGAGGAATATATACATTTAAAAATATTTGATAAATATACTTACTTATAATTAAAATTGGAATTTTAAGAAAAATCATCGTAAAAAACGTATTTTGAAATAAAGGCGCGAAAAAAAAATTAAAAAATAACTCCTCCACAAACATATGAAAAAGAATATCTTTTAATATATATTCGTGGTGGTTTCATTTTATATGATTAACTCCTTTAGAAGATATAAAGGTTAAAAGGTGGTTTTATATTTGCACTACCGCGACCGAAAGGGTTAATCATATTTTATTTAATATATCAGATCGATTAATTTTCCCAATATCGATTGATCCCCTATATTCATACAAATGTCTGATCGGCTCGATACAATATATAAAATCGATAAATTTTTAATAAGTATCATGAAATATTTGTTTTAAAGTTTGTCACTGAGAGGTTTTTATAAAATGTAAATTAAAAAAAATATTAGGGGATCGAAAATTATTTTTAATAAACAATAGAATAAAAAAATATTCTATATTTTTATTAAAAAACTTTTAAACTATTCATCATTATTTACAAGATTGTACTCATATGGTTAAGTCCAGCAACTCCTCCAATATCTATAAAAAAGCTTCACAATATCCCCGTGACGATATTACATCCTCCTCACAAGGTAAGTATTATAACCGCTTTTCAACTCTTTTTTAAAAAATATCAAAGCATTTGTCTTAAATACAGTGCAGATAAATGACTTTCCAGGCAACTGTCAGATCATATTTATTTCTTTCTATCTTTATATCAGCACTTCCCTCTACTATATTACTCAGAATTCAATATTTTATGTTTATAAATTGATCTAAACATGATAGGACAGGGGTCGAGCTAAATTTTGGCATCACGCTGTTTACCGCAACACCGATGCCATCTTATCTCTGGACGAAAATGAGACTATCATCAAGGATGAGATGAATTTCGCTTTCGATGTTTGGAAAAGCTTCCCCAATACCCTGGTAGGTTACAGGGCTTATTCCCATAATCGCATTATCTCTGCCCCAGAAGGCTCCAATATTAAAAACATAGTAAACAATTTGGATACAGATCCGGGTAATCGTTATAGCCTCGTGGCTACCAGTGCTGTCTTTTATCACAAGTATTTATTTATCCTTAGGAGGGGGAGGGGTAATTAATTTATTCTGCATACAACTGGAGTGGGTAAATAGAGCATGGCACATTTTTCTGAATACAACCCGAACCCATCTTTTTATGTGCTTTTGGTAAAATCAAGCAGATTAGCAACTAAAATTGTGAAATTTAGCATTATACTTTTTGAGCAAAGCCTTAGCTAACATAAGGCCTTGACAAAAAATGTGAAATCCTTTTATTTAAACCAAATATTAATAATTTTTGTCTAAAAATTCTTTGTTAATTGGTTGTACATAAAAAAATTTATACCATGATTAGGCTAAGGAAATTAATAATTTTAGCCTTTCAAGTTCCAACTCAACACATAGAATGATCTTAAAACAATAAATTTAATTCAAAATATTTATATTTTTACCTTCATTTAGTTTTGAACAATGTATTAAATAATTTCATTTTTCTCCTTTTTCTCGCTTTAAATAATCTTCACATGGCTAAAAATTGATTACATTTTAAATATAATTATTTGATTAAATAATTATAATAATTCCCAAATTATCGTTACAATTACGCTTTTGAGGGCAATGTTGTCTTCCAAACGCCTTTTTTTACCTACCCCCCCCCCCCCCCAAGAAGCTATTAAATTTTTATTATTATAAATGAATTTATTTATATATATCATTTTATTTGCAAAAAAAGTACACAAAATAATGCTGTAAATATAAATTTATAGAATACAAAGGCTACATAAAAATATAAAAAACCATCGTAGCGTAAAAGAATCTATATCTTCTACAATGACAATAGATTGAAAGATTATCAATGAAAATTTGAGATTAATTAAGCCTCTGATGGGAGGTGTTCCTCTCATAATCCGTAGTCATCGATCTTACCCTCGAACATTCGCGAATAACATTTTCTAGCACCAGTTCGCAAGGACCTATAGTAGCTCTCTTTGATATGTTTAAAAAAAGAGTATTGCTTGGAATATTTTTTCTTTTATTGATGCTTCACTTTTCAATGATGATTCATCATTTCGATTTCAATAGCATAATTGATATCATAAGTACTTCGATAGAAGCATGTTATCTGAGTTGATTAGGATAATAATATATGTCACAGGCAACTCATAATTATAATAAATATATTAAAGGGTGTTAACAAGTTAAAATATTGACAACCTGGCCAATTGACAAATTGAGATGGGAAAATAATTTCCTTTACTACATTTGCATAAATCCGATTAATTTATAAGCTCAAGCTGGTTAAGTATTTTATGAAATTTATATGAGCGTCATATTTTATTACACAATTTACCAGAATTTATATTTTTTTTGGTAACATGTAAATTAAGAATATTTTTCTATCAAGTTTTTTAAAAAAATCAATAATTTCTTCAAGATATTATAATTACCTGTATTCGCGTCTCTCCAACTTAACCCACGACACAATCTCTCGTTATACTCTTAAAGGAAGCTTATGCAGCGAGGATATACCTATGAACATGCTCGTTGCCTCTATAACCTCGGCTCCTCCTATTAAAATTGGTCCTAGACCTTTTTTACCCCTTTCCGACACGTTTTCTACCCACTATAGGCAAATTCAAACGGACCTACTCGAAAATTGTTTCATTGAATTGGTTGATAATACCTCAACGACAGATTTTCCGGACTTCCCTCTAATCCATTCAATGGTTCGGGCTGACCCTCTTTTGTACAAAGACGACGTTGATATTAATAGGAAAAAATATAAGGCTATGGAGTTGGTCGCCTGATTACATTTTTTTTAAAAAAGGTATACTTTTAAAATTAAAATGGCGAATTAATTCTTCCCTTCCCACAGTCTTAACAATCGGCGTTTCGGCGTTGGACTTAGTTTAAAATTTGCATTATGTTTAAGTGTATTCCCTAAGTATTATATCATTGATTCAATCGTTTAATACGATCTACACTTGATATTTGTATATTTTTAAACGAAATCTTTTTCTATTGCATATATCAAAAAAAGAAACACTTATAATTCATAGAGTGACGCGTACCATTATTAACAAGATAATTTCACTTTCGGACATAACAATTAAAAAAAATTTTTTTATCATATTAGTATTTTATAATTATTTAAATTTATAATAATATATCTGCCCTCTGAATAAATTTTTTTAAGTTTATTGTAAATGTTCGGAAATATTTAATTATTTTAAGAAGAAAATAAAAAATATTTTTTATCGAAATGCAAAACACTATATTTTTCCTTAAATTTATTTTTTTTATCCCCCCCCCCCGCCCCTCCCCCAAGAACTAGATAAAATAATTATTTTGATTCGCTTTAAAATATAGCCAAATAAGTATATATTCTTCAATCAAAAAAAATATTACAATAACCCTGCATTTATAAGTATAACTAACAAACTTTAGACAACCAAGTCATATCATATTCTATTTACTTATATTTGTAGAAATCTGCTCAAACAACCCTCTTTCTAAGAACTATGTCGTTATGTAAATAAAAAAATATCAGCTCAAAAGAGTAACTTAGGGTAACTAGAATTTGATTGGCGAAATTCATAAAATCTTTTAATTTCTTTTTTACTGCGTATATTGTAAATTTAAAAATGGAATAAGGAAATCACAAAAAATTGCAATGATCTCTTATATATATTTTTTAAATAAAATACTGTATTATACATAATTTTATTTTGGTTGTAAAATTATCGAAATGGGCTTTACAAATCAAATCAACTGAGAAATATTGTGATTATTATTATTATTATATAGTACATATTATAAATTTGCCTTATTTTTAAATGTATAATATTATTCAATCGAGTCACACAAATTTATTATTATTATAAATATAGTCAGATTCAATAAATCAACATTTTAAAAAGGTCTACTTACAATTTTAGAGTTTTTATCAATGCCTGTTTTATTTAAAATGTTATGGTAACTAATATCAATAGTGTTGTTAATCGACTGAGTCGAGTCGACTTAGTCGAAAACTGAGTCTAAGTTTTGGGTCTAAAAAATAGACCCAAACTGACTTGAATGAACTCGCGTGAACTCAAGTCGTGAACTCAAGTCGACTTAAGTCGTGAACTCAAGTCGACTCAAGTCGTGAACTCAAGTCGACTCAAGTCGTGAACTCAAGTCGACTCAAGTCGTGAACTCAAGTCTATATACTTGAGTCGACTAGAGAACGAATATTTTTATAAACTTGAGTCGTCGACTAGAGGACGAATATTTCAAATTAATTATTAATAATTAAGATTTGTTCTGTTTTTTACATTTTTTTATTTTAGACTTCCAACTTGAGATTTAAATAGGAATTATATACTTTAGTGTAGTCAACTAGAGGACGAATAGTTCTATGAACTTGATTCGACTAGAGGACGAATATTTCAAATTAGTTATTTCAGGCGCGTACGCAGGAATTTGGTCTGGGGGGGGGGATAATAAATTTTTTAAGAAATAATATTTTTAATTAAAAATACTAAGCATAAATTTATTAAAATTAATAACTTTTCTAATACACAATTTTAAACTAATGTGAATTAAAAAAATTATATATATAAACCGGCATTTAAATGTGAATCATAAAATATAAAGTGAATATAACCCACGATATGAATCACTTATAAATGACCCAAAATTGAAATTTGAATTTTTTGAACTTTTAAAATATATAAAGTATAAAAAATTTAAATGTTGTAAATATAAATTAATACACAAAAAGTTTCTTAGGAATAATTGTATTTTGTATGTTTTGAGCTAATTTTTCAATTATCAATCCTTGCTTGGCGTTAAATGTCTATGAATATTCAAAAGATCCAAATCATTCAATCTACTTTCAGATGTTGTATTTCATAGGTATGTTTTTCACAGACTTGCAGGCCCGGCCCCCGAATTTTAATTTTTTTAAATATACCCGGGCCGGGCTCGTAATTTTTTTTTAAAAAAACACCCGGGCTGGGCCTGAAAATTTTTTAAGAAAAAATATCCGAGCCGAGTTGTATATTTTAAAACCAAATATTTGAAATCGCCATTATTAGCTATAAATATCAAAAATAAATATAATTTATTTTAAAAAATTCGGGCTGGGCTAGCCGGGCCGGGCCTGAAAATTTTTTTAAAAAAAACCCAGGCCGGAAAAAATTTCTAAAAAAAATCTGGGCCTGGTCCTGCAAATGGTACCTCTGCAAGGCTCTGTTATTCTTCTTAAAAAAGTGAATGTTCTCTCATTAGTTTACTAAAGAGCTGCTAATATATATATAACCATTTTAATAATTGGGAGTATAATCTAAAATGTGTTTGAAATAAAAAGCATCTATAGCATTTTTTGGGACTGTATCAACCATAGTTAATCTTTTAATCTAGTTATTCAGCTAATAAGGCATCATAAGATATTTTAACATCTTCATGATAAAAATATAACAAATATTTATATTTTTTTTCTATCACCATATGAAAAGGTTGGGAGAGGGGACATTTGTTTTATAATACTCTTCTACTGATCCTATATTAATGTTTTGATGATGAGCTTGCTTGCTGCAAGTCGAGGGGGACAAATATTTAACACGTATAGCTCTGCTTTTGACTCAACAATAACATATAAAATATGAAATTCTTCAACAACATTAGCTCTATTTCCTTGAGTTCTAATAAAATGCTCTCCGCTATTCTCATCTTCTTAATCAAGTCAATGTTATGTTTTTGAAAAGTATTACATAAAATAGTTGTATAATTAAATAATACATTCTAATGAGAAAAAAAATTTGGAATAAGTATTGAATCCAATAATTTTCTTGCTTCTGAGGATATATTTCTTTCAAGCCATTGTGATATTTCAGTAATAGCATTAATAATCAGCTCTTCTAACTCCAAAATAGCTGTTACTGTGGCGGAGACTCGATCTCGTTGGACAAGCTTGCAATTTTTTTCTCCCTGTTGGACAAGGAGTTTCAGAGATAATTATTATTTTATTAGAAATTTAGATAAATATTACGCCACTAAAATTGGAAAATAATAGGTAAATTACGCCAAGGAAAACTTGAAATCGAAATTGATTGATAAAATAACTTAGTAGATGAATGTGATAAATAAATGTAATTAAATAGATATATATATATGTATATATGAGATAAGAATAAATATTAACAAATATAAATTAATATTAACAATAATATTTTTGAAAAATATAATCCGGCATCTGCATTTTTTGGCTTTGGGGGGGGGGGATTTGTCCCCCTGTCCCCCCCCCGATGCGTACGCGCCTGAGTTATTTCAATTAAGATATTTGTTGTTTATTACTTTTTTTTATTTTAGACTTCCAACTTGAGTTGCAAATAGGAATTATATACTTGAGTTGACTAGAGGACAAATAGTTATACTTATATGAACGTGAGTCGACTAGAGGATGAATATTTCAAATTTTATTAATTAAGATATTTGTGATCTATTTTTTACATTTATTTACTGTAGACTTTAAACTTAAGACCATGAATACGAAATATATAATTGAGTCGACTAGAGGACGAATATTTCATATTTGTTATTATTAATTTATTTATTTGCTCTGTTTTTACACATTAGCTGTTTTAATTTTCCACCTATTAAAATAAGCTTAAAATTATGGGATCCCTAAAAACAGTTTCTGACGGAACTCACTACCTACCAGATGTCAATTAAATAACAACTTTTTTGTATCTTTTTTATTAATTATTTATCAAACTGCAAAAAATTTTCATTGGGTTGTGTCCTAAATTATCAAAAATTAAATTCACAAACTTTCGAAACTTATTGAAAATATATAAATAAGATAAGTCTATATTTTTAAACATACAAATAAAAACATTTACAAAACATACTTGACAATTTTCTAAATTTTAATACTTAAACATATACAATTTTAAAATTTTTTTTAAAAATTTTGGATAATAGCCTTTAAAACGAGTTTTATTTTGTAGTCACAAACTTTAAATAACAATATCCCATTAATTCACATATGTGAACCATCTTTTAAAACCAGCGAACACTGCTACAACTTATTAACCAAATATTTTTTTTAGTGAATGTATGGAAAAAATTAATAAATTTTTTTTAAACTTTCCCTTTTTCTTAACATTTAAAAAAAATTTATTAAATGGTGTCTTTTTTATCCAAGAGTCTTTATTTTATATTAGAAAAAATCTATTATATGCCATTATTTTTTAATAATATCATATTTGCTACAATTTATATAAAGTAATTAATGAGACAGTCAAAAAAAAATCTAAGAATTTATTAATATTCTTTTTATTTTTACGGTTTATATTTTTTTAAATATATTTAGCCTTTTCAATATTAAAATTTATTTTGTAAATATACAATAACATTGCACAATACAATAAATAATATAAAATATATTTTATTCTGTAAGACTAATATCCCAATTATTTACGATTATAATTTTGTTCTTAAAAATACCCCTCCCCCTCCTTCCTTGATTTAATATTTTTTTAAAAAAAATTTTTTTTCTCTATCAATGAAAAAATAACAATTCTTATTCCCCTCCCTTTTTTTCCCCCCAAAAATTAATTCCATAATAAAAATATTTATTTTTTGTTTAAATAATTTCATTCCCAAGTCAAAATTAAATATAAACCCTCCTTTTCTTTACTTTATTATTTATATCCTTGTTTATAAAAAAAATATAAGAATTTTAAATTCTCATTTGATAAATTTTTTGGAGAATTTTCTTATAAATAAACAAGAGTTTTACAAAAATCTTCAAATAAAATTTTGAAGATTTTTTTCGCCCAAAATTTTGAGGAAAAAATCTTTGAAGATCAATATTTTGCGAAGATTTTTTCGCTAAAAAAAATTTTGAGCTTGCTCAAAGAAGATTTTTGAGCAAAATATATTTTTTGTAAAAAAATCTTCTTATAATTTTGAGAAAATATTTTGAGAATTTTATAATAAAATAAAATCTTTTGTAAGGAAATCTTTATTAAAACATTTTTGAAATTTTGATCAATTCCCCGGATGTTATCAATATTTGTAAAGAATATTGACCAAAAATGTGAACATGTCATTTCAATATATATTCTATTTAGAATTCTCACGTCATTTCTTACTATGGATGAAACTCCCTCCTTCAAGGGGGAAAACGTATCGGTTTTGGGTACCATTACATCAATAAAATTTAAAGCTTACCTGGATGAATTATCATCCATTTTGCCTTTGAATTCACTAATAATTAAGGATAATGCGCCCATATATAATACAAAATTTTCAAAATATAGTATATCTTGCATCTTATTAAAGAGAATAAAGTCATGAAATTATCAAATTTAAAATAAATATTGTTAACGCATTGTTATCGTATCAGGGCAAAATTACTAAAAAATAATCAAGGAGACCTTTGAATGAACCAATTAAGAAAAAAGTTCTATAATCTGATATCAGATATGACAACATTACTAATTTTTTTGAGATATTTTATTTTCTTTTAATTCATAAGGCAAAACATTAAATAAAAATAAATAAAGGAGGGAGAGAAAGAGACAATGGGAAAAACGAAAAGAAAAGAAAATGAAATGCATTTTTTAAATAAAAAAAACATTAAATAAATGTATCCCACCCAAATTTATAAATGGGGGTTTTATTATAAAACAATTATTTTATTCATTTTTTTTATTTTATATAACATTATTAATTCCTGATTTTTTATTTCAAAATATAATAAACAAGTGAAAATAAAAATAAAAGGAAAAAACAAGAAAGTTAAACTTAAAATTAAAAACTACAAAATTTTTTTTATAT